CGTTTCACAGAGGTTGTGTTGCCACAGAAGACCTTGACACAGCCCCACAGGGACAAAGACTGTAAAAACTCAGGGAACAATCTCAAATCTCTCTAAAGGCTCTCAAGATACCATTTTAATTCACAGAAATCTGCTGAGCTTGGCAGCAAGCTTGTCTCCCGGTTTGACCAGAGCTGGGGCACTAGCTGCCAGCATTTAACTACCCATTCACAGGCTGGAAGAGACAAAAAAGCAGAGCAGAGTCATATCGCAGGATTAAAGCCAGCAATAAAGATGTCCAAAAAAAGTCAGCGTTACAATACATAACAATATCACACCACCCAAGTACAAACGCTTTCTTCAGCATGCTGATTTAATTAAAGTAGTTCGTTATCTTGTGGTGGGAAGATGAAAAACCAGAGGATGCTAGAAATGAGGTGTTTGCAACCAGCAAGGCTGTGGCACAGGTATCCTGGGACTCTACCGCAGAAAGAATGGTTTTGCTGCTGACGATTTCCCTCTCTCTCCTCCCTGATCCAAATTGCTTTCCATAGAGTCAAAAGCTTAAACTCTTAGTCTCTGTGACAGGCAATTTATGGGGAACAGAAGGACCTCAAAGGTCTTCTAAAGCATGGAAGTCCCAGAGCTCCTCTCCACAGCCATTCCTGTAGCCTACGTTCTATGTAGTTCCTGCTGTATTTGCACTTCTGCAGAGTCCTTATTTGCCCCCTTACGCCCAGGGACTAAGATGAGCTGCAGAGACACAGTCATCAGGGAAATCAAGGGCACAATTAAGCAAATCTTCCTTTTCCTCCATACTGATGGACCTACACTGGTTTTGCAACCCATCCCCTGAGATAACATCTCTGGGCATCCACACTCTGGCCACCAGCCACAAATAAACATGAGGTAAAATGCAACAACAAAAACTGCCTGCCAAAGTCAAAATAATTTTAAAAGTAGCTATGAATAGTAGGATGTCTTTTTTCTTCATGTTCCCTGCACTTGCTTCTTTATTATATTTCCAAATGGGAACGTCCCAGGGTTTATATACTTGACCACGCTGATGTGATTTTCAGTGCTGCAACACAGCCAGGAAAAATAGTCCACAGAAGGATGCAATTTAAACACTGACAGGTGATGCTATTCATGCAGCACCATCAATCACATTTCACTTTACCATGGAGTATTTTTAAATTTTTAATCTGCATTTGCTAGCTTTTTATACTGCTGATCAATCCTCATCACCACAGACAAAAGACCAGCATATCTGCCAGCAGGATGGGGCTGGGAAGTAGAGGTGAGGGCAAAAGCAAGGCAGGCAGGGACCTCACCAAGCAGGGGACCATGTCCCAGTCCCCAGGCAAGGAGAGTAGAGCAGGTCCATCAAAAGCAACCCAGATCAACCAGAATAGGTCAAATGAGGAGCCGTGATGAGGACCTGAGCTTAAATGCATTTCCCAAGCAGCAGAAGCAGTTCCCCAGCAGCATTTCTCCCAGTTGTTTCTCATCCCTGGGTTCTCCCTGCAGGCTGAGCCCAGGTTGCAGGGGCGCTGGGTCATGCCCTCCAGCACAGGCAGCCCAGCCCCGGGGAGACAGGAGGGCTGCAGAGCCCAGCACTGCCCTCAGCGCTCCACCAGTGTCAGAAAACATCAATATTATAATTAATTAATTTTTTTTTCCCAAGGCACCCTGGAGGTAAGTATCCCTGCACACAGCTGGACCGAGTTGGCAACTTTGGCATTTAGCTGGATGTGTAGTGAGGGGGACATGAGCCATATGCAAACACGTTATGCGTGATTTCTGGTGCTTTATTCAGGCCATGAAGGTGAAAGCCGCGATGCGATATAGCTGCTCCCTCTCCGCCAGCTGGCACGGGGGCTGGCAGAATGCTGCAAAACCCTGGGTAAGGTGTATTTGAAGTGGCTCGGTGCATCCCCTTTGCTGGTGAGCTTCCTTCAAAAACATATTTAAACAACACTTTATAGCATTCATTTGCAGAGTCTTAAAAAAAAAAATCTTGGATGTGTACGTGTAAATATACATGAACTTGCCTGTGTCTGCCTGCTGTTACGCATGTGTATCCACTGTGGCGCAGGCACACAGAAAGCTCAGCATCCGTACACCTATACACACACATCCACCTGCCCAAATACCTGCCTTTGTGGGGCCACTTGTGCACCTATGTAGGTGCTCTAAGGCCACTCCAAAGGCTGCTTGGTCCTGCTGGAGTGGGGTCCTCCAGCCTCAGGAGGAGGCAACATGGCCAAGGGACAATGCCACCCAATGGAGCTGCTGATGGGAACATGCTGGGTCCCAGGGCAGAGGGAAACGGGTGGTTTTTTCCACCAAATAAATCCATCCCCCCATCCTGGCTCATGGAAACCTGGCCCTGGAGCAAGTATGTGTCACGCCTTGGGGGGGCCAGAGCCAGCCCCCACATTTGCTCCCCGGAGCTCAAATCTTCTCTGCTGCTTCCAAATTCGCAGCCTCCGCCCTGGGAAATTTCGGTCGTGGTTTATTGGAAGAAACCGCAGCTGGCTGTGCCCAAAGGCAATTGCAGGAAGCTTCGGCTCCTCTTTCTCACTGCAGTTTTGTGGGTTGGGGTTTTCATCCCCCCAAGGCTTTAAAGGTTTTGTATATTACCACTGGGTTTTGCCAGCAATCGTGGACACGCTGGATACAAGCATGGTTTTATTGACCAAGTTTTCTCTTTAGGAAGCATCTCAGACTTGTAGAGATGAAACTATGCTGCAAATGGGATACTCTGGTATCAGCTGTGAGGGCTGAGCACTACCACTTAGGCTGAGACTCAACCTGGACCATCCATTTCTGTGCATGATGCATCAAGAATGGATGTAACTCCAAATTTCCTTCTAAAGAAAGATCAAAAAGATTTTAATTCTGAATCTTTCTTACTTTTTCTCTTGGTCAATTTAAGTATTTTCTTAACTGAGAATCAGTTTTAAATTAACTTCAAGGTGTGCAAGGCAAAATATTTTTTTTTTCAGTTAGAAGCTGCAGTTAAAAAAAAAAATATTTGTTTCTAGCTGCTTTTATACTGGTTTGCTGCTCTAAGTCTCTCTTGTCAGACTGTTTCCTGGACACCTTTTAACTAATTTTTTCCTTCTCCCCTGCACTAAGATCAGGTATACAAGCAAAATGCTGCCATTCTGAACTGTCTTAAGTAAGACAAGGCCACAATTAATGAAATAGTGAATAAAAGATAAGAGGAAGTTTAAACTGCCTTTTTCCAGTTAGGTGGATGACAACTGTAGAGGAGTTGATGTATTTTACAATGAATGACGATCCTTGGTGTGCTGGGTTTGGGTGTGTGGTGGGGTTTTTGGTAGCAGGGGAGGGGGCTACAGTGGAGGCCCCTGCGAAGGATCTTCTGGAAGCTCCCCCAACTCCAAGTGGGACCCACCTGTGGCCAAGGCCAAGCCAATTAGTGACGGTGGCTGCGCCTCTGCAATAACGTATTTAAGGGGAATCTGAGAGGAGAAGTTGCAAGGAGGACACCTCTGCAAACTCTGAGGCCAGAGGAAGAAAAGAGGAGTGGGGGGGGAGGTGCCTGGGGCACCCCCCCTGCAGCCGGTGGTGGGAGGGCAGGCTGTGCCCCTGCACCCATGGAGGTCACTGGGGGAGCAGATGCACCTGCAGCCCATGGAGGACCCCACGCCGGAGCAGGGGGATGAACCCAAAGAGGGTGGGACTCTGAGGGAGGAAGCCCTTGCTGTTGCAGATTGAAACACGTGGGAGGAACCTACCCTGGAGCAGCTCGGGAAATGCTGCAGCCCATGGGAAGGACTCACATCAGAGAAAGTTCGTGAAGGACTGTCTCTTGTGAGAGGGCCCCCACGCTGGAGCAGGGGAAGAACGCGAGGAATCCTCCGCCTGAGGAGGAAGGAGCAGCGGGGCTGGCCACAACCCCAGTTCCCTGCCCCCTGCACTGCTGGAGGGGAGGAGATAGCGAGTGGGGGAAGAATGTGAGGTGGAAGGGGGAAAGGTGTTTTTAAAATGTGGTAACGCTTCTCACTGTACGACACCACCTGTTAAGTGGCAGTGTTGTTAGTGTTTAAATTAAATTGATGTTCTTTTATTTACCTTCCCCTAATGTCTCTGTCTTTTGCCTGTGAGGATAATGGGTGAGTCACCTCTCACTGTCCTTATCTCCATTCCAGAGCCTTTTACTTTATTTTCTCCTTCCCATTGTTGAGCAGGAAGGGGTGAGTGAGTGGCTTGGTGGTGCTCAGTTGCCCTCTGGGCTCAAACCATGATACTGGATGGCTGTATGAGAAGGAACATGAGGCATTTTTAGAGATGAAGTTGCTTGTAAAAGGCTTTTTAATGGCAGAGGCTGGCTCATGCTAATAGTAATACCTCAAAACATAAATGCTCTTAAGTTACAGTCACCTGTGATGCTAACTTCTCCTTGGCAGTTCATTCAGCCTTCTCTGCTGACACAGGCCAATTAATTTTGGCTTCTAAAACATACAATCTGGAAAGACAACTTAAAAACATGTTTTGTTTGGTTTTTATTTGGAGCATTAGCATCTCTGAGCTATACTTGATGCTCCCTTCCCTGCATGACTCATGCTGCAGGGAGCCCTCCAATGCTCCTGTGGACCCTGGAGGTGCACACACCACGCACCCCACATCTGCCCTCCCAAAACATCCCGTAGGGACACAGGGGACTGCTCAGACCTCAGAGACCGACAGCACATTCTGTGACAGAGGTAGGATGTTTTCTATTAACCCCTTTAACACTAGATACATTCCCCATTTTAAGTGAATTCAATCATCAGCTGAGTTGTTGATAAAAATGAAATATTTATGGCAGCAACCCAAAAGCAGTTTTTGCGAACAGCAGCCCTTACCTGAATCCTCTCATGCTTTTAAGACAAGGGTGTCTTACTGATGCTAAACAGGTATTGGGAACAGCAGTCCTGTAAAGTGATCAGAAAATGGTGAGCAATACAAACAGTACTGAACACCCCATTGATTAATATATTCAAAACTTAACTTCTGCGTTCATTCTTGCTGTGAACTGTTTAGTTCTCTTCAATAAGCTAAATGCCATGAAGCTTCTCTCTTCACAAGTCTTCCCCTTCCTTTTCTGTCCTGACATTGCAACTTTTAAAGTGACTGTAAATGCTGCTTGAGCCATTCAACATAAGCAGCTTGCTTTAGTATGCTTCGCAAGTCATCCAAAATTAGAGTGTAAAAATTAATTAAAAGCCCACAACAAAAAAAAACCCATCCAGTCACAGTATTTTCCTCTTTACATTTTATTTTGTAATGATAATACTATCTTAGCAATGAAAACGGAACATTATGCATCATTCACTTCAGTAACATAATGAAGGTGGTTCCAGTTGTAAAAATAAATAATAAATATGAAAGCAGATAAAAATCTCCCTGTAAACGCAGCTGGGATCCACCGAGGCTCAGAGGTAGAACCAGAATGGGGAAGGTGGAAGAGGACTCAGAATAAAATCCCCAAATTCATGCTTGGTCCCTTGCTCTGCTCAAACAGCCACAAAAAGCCCAAGTGATCCTGTGCTTCAGCTAATGCTTGGGAGGGCAAAAGATAGTTCTCTTGGCAAGGAATGAGTACCAGTGGGATAAAGACCTCAAGGTTTGCTTTTTAGGGATAAACAGAGGCACATGTGGCAGCCTCAGGCTGTCTCAGTAGGAAACGATGCTGGTGGCACTTTCCCCTTCCCCGTGACCCAGCACAGGATGCCCATGGGTTGCCCATCACCCACCCATGTGGCTGCTGGCACCATTTCTGTCAAATGGGACCCAGAAATCCCTGCTCAGAGGGGCTTTCTGAAGAGCTCGCCCCACAGGTCTAAGCAGATGAAATGTCCTGTCGCTCCCCTGAGACACTGAATTCATGGCACACGTCACTGTTTCATCGGCTCCCCAGGTTTCTGGTAAAGTGCTATGGCTGCTGACTGGTTTCACCAGCCAAGGGAACATCAAGCCCAATTTTAAACCAGGGGAAAGCCCCAAGCTTTCTCCCATATGTAAAAAAAAATAAGTTTTCAACAGGATCACTCACTCAAGTGCCTGTTTTACATCACTATTCTCTGTCTAGGACAAGCTGCTAGTCTATGTGCTAAGTTGCCATCCACATCTTTTAAGGGGAGAAAGGAAACACCACAAACTTCAAAGCATCCTTTTACTGCCATCAGTGGTCCTCCGAGCTCACGGGAAACCTGCCACCTTAGACCCCTCTTGCAGCCCTTGCCAGACTGCAGCTCTTCCTGCTGCTATTTCATACCTTGCTCCATGGTCATGATACAGATCTGTCTGGTCATCTCTCAAGTTATTATACAGAAAAGGTTGGGAGGCATGCTAAGTGCTACAATATCTGAAATAATTTAATTTACAAGCTCCTCGGAGCAAGGGACGTGTATGCGTTCAGCAGTGCTCTTGTAATAAATATATCTATAATCATAATATTAATGATAAAATAAATAAAAATAATAGTAATAAGGAGTTATGCATGTGACCTAAGATTATGTGCAATCTAAAGGTCGTGTAGCTTAAGCAAAGGATAAAAACATCACTGCTAGGGATGGACTGTACTGGAAGAAGGCGTAAAGCTTTGCTGCAGAGCATGCATAGGAAATGACAGAAGGGATCTCAGGATCAGAAGGCAGGCAGGCACAGGGTCCCTCCAGCTGAAATTGCCACGTAGTCTTTGGGCTTTTATTCTGGCCATTCCCTCACAGGAAAAGCCCTGTGGGAAGGCCTGGGGTAGTTGCCCCAGACACAGCGGGAACTGCAGGCTCCTGTGCTGGCTCTGCAGCCAGTGCCTGATGCTGCAGGTCAGGGGCAGGGTCCTGAAAGCAGGTGGGAGCCCTCCAGTTACAGATGCTCAGGGGAATCCAGTCTCCTTCTCCTGGGCTTGCAACTCAAATCCAATTTCTTTCTGTCCCTGTGGTGGTGCAGGTCTGCAGCCCTGCTGCAAGGGGAGGCATCGGGTTCCCACCCTCTCCGCTCCTCCAGGGAGGGAGGACTTCTCTTCCCAGCAGTTCAGTGGGAAGTGGGAAGCACTTGGGGTCCTGGGGATCCTGCTAAAATGCCAGGACTTCAGCCAAAACCCCAATGTATGGACCTCAGCCCTTGCAAACCGTCTCTCAACCTCTGCCTGGTCCCCCAGCTCGTCCCCCTGCGGCGAATTCAGGCTCGGGTCAGGTATGTGACCTCTTGCTGATGCCGCGGCTGGTGGCCTGTTTGGTCATATCTTGGTAGGAGGCAGACTTCAGGAAGCGGGGGTAGGAGTCCTTCTCCATCAAAGTGCGGGTCTTGGCCTGGGCTTCATTGAAGCAAGTGGAGGTGGCACCTGAGAGGTTCTTGCGGGTGATCTCCCTGGTTTCGTGGTCGATATTCACCTACAAGAAAGCAGTATCCACAAACATTAACTCAGCATTAACTGCCCTCCCATGGTGGCACAAAAACTGTTTTCTTCTTCAGATGAGGGTGAAGATGCTCACAAACATTTATATCCTTTCATGTTGGTAGGCCATATGATGACAGAAATGAAAGCTGTCATGAACAGGAGCACAACTTCTTACTGTGCTGAGACCACTTTTGTAAAACCCACCAGGGTATCTTATCCCTTTCCCACCCTATTTGATGCCACAGTAAAGAGGCAGAAAATGCTCTCACCTCCCTGGGTGCCTCACTTTGGACAAACTCCTCAAAGATCCTGTTGGCCTTGGAGGCCAGCTTGGTTTTTGACCGGGTCTTTTTGAAGTCCTCGCACGCCAGCCAGAAGTCAAGGTTCTCCTCACTGAACTCTGTCTTCAGGAAGGTGTGGAAGGCCGTCACCCCACCTGGGGAGGGAAGAGAAGAGCTGTTAATGGGGCAGAAGCAGGAGGAAGAGGACCACTGCCAGACGTGGCGCTGCCCAGCAAGCATCACCCTGGGAGCTCAGTCCATGACATCTGCAGATTTCTTTTCCCTCAGGGCAAATTCCACCCTCTAAGACGCTGCTAATTGGCCTCTAGACTCCAATAAAATTCTTTCCCACAGACAAGTAATCCTCTGGTTTTATTTATCTGACCTTTCTGTAATGAGGCTTCAGAGTATTTTCTTTACAGCTTCGGAAAAGAGCTAATTCTACCTAAGGAGAAATTCACTGACGTATCAGTATGCCTGCAGGAACCGAGCAGTGATGGCTTTATTTTTATTTCTCAGCTGAGATCTAAGGGGAATGAGATGCTGAGGAGTATGGGAGAGCAATTGCAGCAAAGATTTCATAGTCAGGCTGGGGGGATGTATTAAGTTACAAAGCCAGAGATGCTTGTTAGCCACCACAGCACGTGAAAAAGGCTGGAAAAAAAATACACCTAGCTGCAGACTAGCACTGTGGAAGAACTTTCTCTTGCTATGGAATAGCTTTTAAGTAATACAAAAGTACTTGTCTACAAGTTTGGCACTTTTACCATTGTGCACCTGCTGTAAAGCTCAGTGTAAGGAAGAGATGATGTGTGGGACTCAAAAAGAGGTCCCCTCTTCAGGTCCGGAGGTACCATCTGCATGGGGGAGAGGGAGACAGCACCTTCCAGGAACCCTGTGCATCACCATATGTATAGCAAATATTGGAGGGGGAAATGGCTATGTGTAACTCAGTAAAGCAGCTGAATTCCTTCTCCCTGTGGAAGAGCGATCCTCAGAGGCATAGGACAGAGGGCAGCAACACAGTTTTCTGAGCAATAACAGCCTGTGGGGAGGTAGCTGTGTTGATGTGCAAAGGAGGACACTGCGAGCACTCTGCCTTCTCCTGAAAGGGACTGTCTGGGCACGGAGTGATATTGTTCCGATGCACTGCTGCATGCAGGATGCTCACATCGATGCTCCTGTCCTGAGGCAGCAGCAAGGCACTGCAAGAGCATGCTTGTGCCCCGTAAAAAACACCCAGCCAGAAAAAAAGGGCACAGCTTCACAAGCTAGGCAATGAGCTCCATGCATCAGCTCTGTCAGGGCATAAAAGGGGCCTCTTTCTAAATCCTAAACCATTTTGTTTGAGGAGGAAACATGATTTCCTCATACACTGGCTGCAGGCATACAGTCACCCCCTTGCTCACTGGAAGCATGCTTGTCCAACACACTTTCACCAAGAGAAGAAAACAAGATCCTACTTACTTTTACTCTTCAGGAGCTGGTCAAAGGACTCCCTCCATTCGAGTACCTCATGTGAGGAGTCTCTAGAAAAGACAAAAGGATGTAAGGCTTGCTGTTCCACTGACAACACTTCTACCCTGCTGCAAAGGATGGGAGCACTTCAGTCAAGCGGCCTCATTAATGGGAGACACGGCAAGAAGGGAGGCAGTGGCACCCAGTAGAAAACCAAAGTAAGACCCCAGTATCCATTACCTGTGGATTCGCTTTCCTTTCTCCCTTTCTTTTATCTTCCCCGATGGCTCACCAGACCTCAGCTCCATAGTGCAGCTTTGGCCAGGTAGCTTCACCAGAGGAGACTCAGAAAAGCCTTTTTCTGCTGGTACAAGCCCAGCAGAGTCTCCTCTCCAAGAGGACACCCTTTCCTCAGCAGCAATATTTAGTATTTTAGTTTTTAATGCTGCCTGCATTCCTCAGGGGTCCCAGGTATTGGTCTGAGACACCAGCAACTATAGAAGCCCTCTGGGTTTCTTGCCTATTGCTAAGGCCGTGCTCTCTCGTGCCTAATGCCAGAGCATCAGTTCCCCCATCTGATTTTATAACTGGTGGAGCTGGGAAGTGATCCGCCTTCCCTCCCTGATGGGGTGGGACCATGGGGAGGGTGAGCTGCGCTTTCTTCTCTCTGCTGTGCATCCCCCAGGAGAGTCTGGTCCACAGGGGACCTGTCTTAGGCTGAAACTGGGACATGGCACTGCTTGGCTTACCTCCATCTGGAGCCCAGCTGCAGCTTGCTGGAGGTCCTGATCCTGTGTCCCAGCTCCGGTTTATGAAGCAGGATCCCTAAGCGGGTCTTCAGATCCTTGGCTCTGGAAGAGAGGAAGGGGAGAGGTGGGACTGCTAGGCCACCAGATTGCTGCCACCAGCCCCCTGCCTCACAGGGGCTGCACCCTAGACCCAATACAGCTTGGAGGTGCAAACCCTCACTCCTCAGCTTCAGCTGCTTCTTTGCCTTCTGATGTGCAAAATAAATGCTCCCCCGATTGCTTTTTCTGCTCCCTGGCAACCACGCTCAGGAGTGCATTAAGCCCAGGGGACTGCTTCCTCCTGCTTGCTTTCCAGGTAGCACCACGTGCATTTATAAAGCTTGGCCAGCTTTTTCCTCTGGAGCAGGTAGCAGAGCAGCTGCTGAGTGCTTAGCTAGAGCCCCCGCAGCCCTCCCCACCCCCCCCTCAGCTCTCCAGAGCTAACCTGGCTCCTTTTTCCATCCCCCTTTCCCAGCAGTGCTACACTGCTCTCAAAACACTGGAAAAACAGAGCGAGTGCTGGAGCATCTCCCTGCTGCGAGGCTGCTGCAGCAATGTTGATGCTCCCCTGCTTTTTACTTTTCTGGGGTGCCCCTGAGTCACCAGGAGCCTGTCACCATGCCACAGAGATGGCTGTGCTCCCCAGTGGCACCTACCCCATGCCTTCGAGAGCCAGAGAGCCCAGTGGCAGCACGATGCTCCTGTGCCAGAGCCCGCTGTGCGAGTGCCCAAGACGCAGCTGCCTGTCACCGTGGTTCTGCAGCAGTAGCACGGAGGCACCTCCCTCCCGGGAGGTCTCTGCAACACTACGGCAAAAGCCGCTGCTAAATTGGCTCCTCTCCCCGGAGTCCCCCCAAGGCAGCCCACAGTCCCACTGTTATTTGTGTGCTGCAGCTCATTCAGGCATCCCAAAGCGCTCGTACAAAAATAAGTGTTTAAATGTCAAGCCAGCAGCGTTGGGGCTTTGTAGCCATGTTTGGCAGGAGGAGCAACATGTCACTTAACATTTCAAGTGTGTTGACAAAAATAGTCCTGCTGCTGTCAACTCGAAACAAGTGCTGCAGAAATAGAGACAGAGAAACAACCCTTGTGCTTGTATGCCCAGACACATGCAGGGCAGCCCTATCCAGCCTCCTCTCCCTCTGCATGTTTTACCTCTGTGTTCCCCTCCTGGGGAGCAGGACGGATACAGCCAAAACAAATTACTTGGCCCATCCTTTGCTGTGTGTTTCCTTGTGGTCTGCACCCCAATTTCTACAAAAACATCATGGCTACAGCAGCAGAGGCTGACCCAGCCGCTCCGAAGTTAGGTGCATCTTTTCCAGCTACCCCTCTGCCATCCCAGAACTGCAGCACAGATCCCTTACCTTTCCAGGCAAGCGATGGGGAGCGCGGCTAACCCCCGGCACATGCTGAGAGCTGGGCACCCAGGCACCCAGCAACTCATCAGGTCCTTACAGCAGTGGCGTGCAACAGGCAGCTGCAGCACCACCTGCACCCGAGTCGTGTGTTGTCAGCTGGGAAAGCAGCAAGGAGCCGTGCTTTATATCGGGTGGGAGGCGGGAGAGCTGGGAGGGGTACTCAGCATCGCTCCAGCCTCCAGCCAACCAAAAACTGCTCTGGCAGCACCCAGTGAAGATAACGGCTTAGGTAGGTTTCTTTTGTGCTGTTAAGGGAAGGGTGAGTGGGAGGCTGAGGCTTGTCCTTGAGCATCACAGTCATAACTGCTTACTCGATAACAGGAAAAAACAGGCTCATTTCCACCGACGTGAGGAGCTTGCTGAGTAACTGCCAGCGGGCACGCAGATGAGGAGAGCGAGAGGGACAGGACAGACGCCGTAACGCACAGCAATTCGTCAGCTCTGTCCTGCTGCCCGAGGACTTCCAATGCTCCCGGCAGTGCAAGGGCTGGTGTATCAGCATCGCAATGGCACACTTTTCCCCAGGTGGTTTAAGCAGGAGATGCCAGTCCCTAGCAGAGTCAGGCTCTTTTGCAGTATTCCAGGGGCAGATGCAAAGACTGGAGGAAGGGTTTGCACTCCCCAGGACAATGCAGTACTCCCTGTCTTGCACTGCAGATAGAGCAGAAGGGTATAATGTTTCCACATCCACCACAAATTACACTGCCAGGCCACAGCTAGTACAAATAAGGAGACTGATGTCTGACCCTACATGCTGGCAGCAGTTTCACTTCTTCATCCCAAATTCTTTGCTGGGTCTTGTCTCAACATAGAAAAGGAGAAAGGATGCACATCAAAATGTCTGAGCAAAGCATCTGGTAAAGGTGGATCCTGATGAAAGCTGAAGATGGAAAGAAGAGACTAAACACAGGGGAGAGGTTGGAAACTGGAGGGGAAGGACTGAACCAGCAAGAGAAGGATGAAGAGAAGGAGTTAAATGAGTGTCAGACTCAGTGCACCAGCACCCCCAAGAGCTGGTGCAACAAACAGAGGTCCATGACAGCCAACAGGTTCCCCACACCAAGGTCAGGCTCACACAGGGCCTAGGGAGCTGCCCTCCCTCCAATTCCTGTCTGTGGAGCTGGGAGGGAGCTCACCACAGTGGAGGAGCAACTCTAAACTCCCCTGCCCACAGCCATCCCAGGGCAAATTTCTGCCACCTCCACCCCTCATTTTCTCTTTTTCCTCCCCTCTTAATCCATGCTATTACCAGCTCTGCAGCCAGCACAGACATTTTTCCAGAGCTCAGGTTGTCTCCTACTCTTGCTGCCTGCATTAAGCATACATGGGACACTGCCAGAGTGTCTTGTCAGTGGGAGATGAGCCGTCCCAGGGGAGGTGGCAGCACACAGCCATTTCAGTCCCAGGCTGGAGAGAAAGGTTCCTCCTGAGCTGCCTTTGGGAAGCAGAAGCATGAGGATATCAGGACAAGAGACTTTCAGAGGAGATTAAGTACCTCAGCTCCCTCAAACTGTAATGGGGACTTCTGCCTTTTTCCCACTGCTTAGAAAAAGCCACTGAATTGCCTTGCCCATGGCTAGCCAGAAAAGATGCATCAGGACCAATGACCATATACACATTTTTAGCTCCTGTCTCAGCTTTAATGACAAGAGCAGCCTCTTTCCCAAAGGCTCTGGATTTTTTTTTCATTTGAATAAACACATTTAAGGCTTCTTGGTTAGCAGATACGCAGCTACAGATAAACACTTGGAGCTACAGAAAGTTCTTGTTCATGTCTTCCATGTGCCTTAAAGCCGTGATTAGAGCTGTGATTCTTGCTGTGGGTTTAAGGAAAAAAGGGTAAGAGTAAGGGTGAGAGGGCTGTAAGATTGCCTTTGCCTGTACAGATGCTAGGAAGGTCTCTGCATGCCCACAGCATGGTCATCACTTGATTTAACACAGGTTTTGGAAGTGCTTGGCCACATCAGCCTGGTGCTCCACCCCAGCTCACTGCCATGCTGGGAGCACTGGCGTCACAGTGGCAGTGCCATGCTGACATGAGTATGGGCTCCTGGTACCTGCAGGAGAGGGTCACATCCTCTAAAGGGTACTTTAGCACTGGCCATGCACCCATACCCTCTGCACTCACCTCCCAGCTGTAGGGGTTGGCCAACAACAGCCACAGGCCTGGGACGGCAATGACCCTTCTCCTACATCTCCATCTCCTCCCCAGTTTTCTGCACAGATGCAGTGCTCAGCGGTGCCCAGACATAGCGTTGTCTCACTGCTTTGGGGCATGCCTGGAGTTAAGCAGGACTTCATCTGTATCTTTTTTTCCCCTTTAAAACCATGCTCATGTGCTGTGGCTCTTTCTTCCACCTACAGATTTGCAAATTCACAGGATGCTCTGGTGACTCTTCCCCAGTATTCAAGGCACCCAAGTGGGTTATGCTGAGAGGAAAACCTCCAGGAGGACAGGCATGTGTTACAGACATACAGATGACTTCTGACAGCAAGTACATGGTCCCCAAGACAGCTGCTGTGCTGGGTACCACATTCTGTTTGAAGCAGATGAGGAAATGTAACTGTATGGCAAAAACACAGCCAGGACAGCAGCAACAGCCATGGCTCATGGTAGAGGAACATGGATGACGCGAGCCAGAGTGGAGAACTCTGCACATCTCTGCCCTAGTGTGACAGCCTGCACTTTGCTTCAGCCTCTGTCTCCCCACTGCATTTTCCCATAGAAATAAGGTGCCTTGGGCAGCTGCGTGTGTAGTTTTATCTTGTTTTATCTTGAACGAGTACGCAGCTCTGGGATATGGTACAGTGCCAGTACCACGCATGTGGGTCTGAGCCCAGGCACAGGAATGGGATCAGGCTGTTCAGGTGATGTCCTTCCTGCCAAGGCCAGGACAGACCCTCTGCCGGCTCTGCCACGGCCTCCAGCCCTCTGCACAAGCCACTGGCTGGCAGCTGTACTCCCTTGGGGCAGCTCTTTTAACTCTCCCCTTCGATGGGGTAGGAGATGCTGTTCAAGAATAGGCAGCTCACCAGCGTGGGATGCAGTATTTTATAATGCAGAGCTCTTCAGCAGGGTTATGCAATAGCCTCCAAGCCCAACGACGTATGTGTACTCAGATGTCTTTATGCCGCTCTATATCTAATTTAATTACGTGCTTCCTGTCTTATTTAGCTTAGCAGCCTCCTGCAGCTCCAGCTCAGTTGCCTGTATTATCAGTCCTTGTTTTGGAACACAAAAAAACCCTCATTTATGTTGCAATGCTGGGTGCCGATCTCCCTTCCTGTAATGGTGCTGCAGCCTTGCTAGCATGAAACCCACCTCCCATCCATGGGGAACAGGCCTCTCGGGGTTTAATTTCTACCAGGGGGATCCTGGCAACCCAGACAGGGTGCACTGGGGGTACCCTGCATACTTGGGCTGGGAGATGACTGAACCACGGAGGCACTTGTGGTGGAAGAGCTGCATCCACAAGCCACCCTTTGCCAGCACAGCACCAGCATTTGCAGAGGCATAGCTACCAGCTCCCTCATCAGAAGACAGACACAAAACCTCTTAGCCCCAGGTATTGCTGCTGTTGTTTTTGGATTAGCATTTGTGGAAGTGTCAGCAACCTTGAAAAATAGGAAAATATAGTTTTCACAGCCCCAAAACTACACAAATGAGGTGTTTAACTAGGAAACAAGGAGGGAACAGTGACAGGGTGAAAAGTATCCTTGCACATGTGCCTCAAAGCACAGACAAGCTCCAAGAAGGGTTTCTAGTTGCAGATATTTTTATATGTTTGGGTGGAATAAGAAGGGGAGGATACAGAAATGGATGGGAAGGCAGGGCAGGGAGGAAGAGGAAAAGAGGAAGATCCAGAGTGAGGCGCACTGGCAGGGTCTCGTTGCATTGCAGATGTAGGCCAGGCAGGCTCACTGAGAAGCCTGACACCTGATTTCTCCCAAATTAACAGGGAACCTCGGAGGTGGCAATCAGGAATGGTAAAATCTGAAAACAGCACCACATGCTCCCTGCATTGCTTCAGCAGAGACTGCCAGAAGCCCAACAAGTCCCCTGGAGCAGTCCGCATGAAATCAGGGAGATGCTGAATGCAAAGGACTAGAAGGGAAAGACTTAAAGGCACTGCTCGTGTTGCACAGCCCTTTCCTCCACCAACAAGCTGTTGTTAAGCTCTGGTTGTGTTTAAGGAGAGATGTCAACAAAGAAGATGATGAAAGGGGTGCTGGTAGGGAATCACCCATAATGGGAGGTTGCTGCTGTGCAGGCAGGAGCATGACATCACTCAGAAGCTGGTGATGGTGGCCAGGAGGAGCAGGGAAGCCACCGAGGCTGTGACAGCAGCGGGGTGTTTGCAAGGAGCCCTGTTACAGGTGGGTATTGGCCACAGGAAGAGTTTATGAGGCAGGGATGGTGAAAGGCTGCTGTGGGATGCCATGTCCACATGGTTGCATGTGAGCCTTGCTCCGATCCGTGCCTCCCCACCCAGGGTAACCCCCACCCCACAGCAGGACAGGCAGCTGCCCACGCAGGCAGCGGTCCTTGTCCCTTGGTGGCCTCTGTGTGACAACAGGCCCTCAGCCTAACCCACAGGGCGCTTAATTGATTCCCAACAAAAGCTCACTCTGCGTTCACATGAAGCATGAGAGGAAATAGCTGCTCTGGAAATTTGTAGCAGTGCGGAAAGAAATTATTGAAATAAAAAAAAATTAGAATTACAAATGAGCTTTTCAAGGGGCAGCTGTTATCCACTCTGCTCATGTGCTTTCTTTGCACAGTGCCGAAGCACATCTGCGTAGGGAGAGGTATCTGACAGCAGGTATTTTTAATCTTCTTTTTCTGTTCCTGGCACCTGCTCTTTAAAGCCACTGAACAGCAAAAAAGCCCTAACAAAGACGATGGCTAAATATATCTTAACTAAGAGGAGAGACAGAGCAGCACTAATGGCAAATCCTTCCTTGGATGCATGCAAATTGTTTTGGCTCAGAGACAGGCTTAGAAGGAAGAAGCAGCAGATGAAAAGGAAAAACAGTAAGAGAAGGGAATTAGGGCAAAAAAATGGGGATAGAAAAGAGACAGAGGAACTGTTAAATTCCACCGCACCAATTTTCAAAGAAAAACAAGCTCAATTAATTTTTGTTTTTAAATATAACCCTGTGCAGATCATCCAGCAAACACTCACCTTTTGGCAGGGAGGGTGGGCTGTGCACCAGGCGAGGAGTGCCCTTGGTGTCCCCTGGGCTTCACAGGATCCAGGTCACTGCTCTCCTTCACTTGCCAGACCTGCTCAGGAGATGCTCTGCTTGGCCTCAGCACTTTCTCCAAGCAGGCAGCAGCCTCCATTGTGTTGCTGCAGCCCCACTCTGCAGCAGATAGCCTACCATGCAATTTTCTACTAACACTCAACCAACCTCCCTCGGCTGCCCTCACTCTAGTCTTTACCCCTGCTAACACCTCCCCTTCCCTCTTTAGTACCTGGGATTGCCCTCAGCTGCTTGCCCGACCCTTCCTCAGCAAGCCCAGGCTCCTCCAGACTCCCTAAACTGGCCCTTGGGACTCACCGAGTCACTCTGAGTTCTCCAGCTCTTGCTGCCCATCTCTAGCTCATGCATTCCCTGGTCCTCAGATGTGTTCTCCCTCCCTGATGAACCAGCCCTTGCCTTTCCTGTTCCTTACTTGTTCACCCCCATCGCTACTGCCAGCCCTTGCCCTGGGGTTTGCCAGAGACTCACCAGCCTATTCCTGCTCATCTCTTCCCAGTTTTTTCCCCAAGGATGGATCAAGCTGAAAACGTGATGCAAGCTGCCTGCTGGAGCCTGAGGCTGCTTTTTATAGCCTGGAGAAAGGATTTATTTGCTCCTCATGGCCTGATCATGTTGGATCCATCCACTTGCTCTTTTTTCTGGGAGACCTTGCTTGTGAGTTCTCACTGCTGGTCCTGGTACGGGCAACAGACTCGACACTTTCCATGCCTGTCAATAAGGCAGTGTGATGGAAATGCTGCCAGAGGGGCAGGTGGGAGCTGTGCCACTGCAGCACCATGTGTGTGGCAAAGACTGATGCCCCAGCTGTGCCACCTTCGCCACAGCCACTTCTGGCTGTGTGTCAGTGGGTTTAATGGGCCGATAAAGAGCATTTGCTCCAGAGCCATCACCACTTCTCCCTGCAGGACAGCAAGATGCATATGGAGGTTGTTGGGCTAGAGGGAGCCAATTGCTGCCTTGGCAGCCCTGTGTCCCCCTGCATGGTTCCGGCAGGGAAAGTGCTTGCTTTTCCATTTTCCTAAACAAGAAGTTACCTGGTGCTGCTGCTCGGGCTGCAGCAGAATGAGCCCATCCCCTTCAGGAAGGTCCTACAGATTTACATGTGTTTCCACGAGGTACCCAGTTCAGGGGAGTGGGTAATTTATCTGCAGTGGAGGGCTGCTCATGCCACCCATCTGCACCAGTCATCACTGCTCTCCGTGCTGCCGGCGTCCCCAGGCCAAAGCCAGCGCTCCTGCTCCCGCTCGTCTCTGACCGCAGCTACTCCTGGGGCAGATGCCAGCAGCCCCTCACTGCAGGGAAGCTTTGCTGCAGCCTCCTTCAAGAACAGCTGCTCCTGACACGGCTTGTCCTCAGGTTCTCAGTTTTGGGGTCTGGGGTGGGCAATCCGTCACAGGCAGCAGTGGGGTGTACCCAGAGAAGGACAGCAATGCACTGGTGGAAGGCTCTTCAGATTTACCTTCATTGTAGTCTCCTAGATCCCACTGGCAATATTTCTGACTCGTCTCCCCCAACTGTACCTCCAGAGAGACTGGTTCTATGTTGCTTTGATGGAAGAGACTGCTTAGAGTTAACACGTCCCTTCTTTGCTGCCCCATCCAGCATGTCTGCACCAGTGAAACCAGCACACGGAGGATGAGGGCGGGGTCTGAGAAGGCACAGGCTTCTCCCATCCTTCTCCCTGCTCAACAACTTTTCTAGGAGACACCCTTTCAGCTCTGGGCTCGCAGTTCCTGAGTTCCTCTCCATGCAGGAAAATGTGCTTGACTTGCACCTTTTCAGACATTCAGGCAGAGAAAAAGTAGTTTCAGGCTGTTTATTATGTCCTCATGGTCTCTATACAGGTGAGTAACACTTTACAATGAGGTGACATGACTCAGGGGGGATATCATTGCTGGTTGGACATTGGTACAGCTGAGACACTTCTCCAGCTTATTAGGGAAAGGTGAGCCTAACAAACAAGCAGCTAATGCTGAGGGAAGGTCAAACGAACCTGAGCCCATGCCTTCCTCTGAACGGGAAGGAATCAGACTGAACAGCCCACGTGTCCTGCCCAAACAGCTCCTGCTGTTACCTACCAACACCAGCATCATCCAGACACTGTGGAGGAAGTTATAGCATCAGGACTTAATTAAAATAAAAATGTGGCATAGAGAAGGTCTTAAAAGAGCTGGTCTTTCTACCCAGTAGCTGGTGTCTCACTTCTGAGTTCATGCTATAGAGTAATGCCCTCCTAAATCTCCTCTGAGCCATCCCAAAGTATGTTTCCCAAGGAACAAGACATCTTTATTATTTAAGACAGCCTTATTCAGTGCTTGAGTTTGGAGTTGGGTCCTCAAGGCCCCTTCCTGCTGGTGAGACACTGCCATCCCACCAACGATGAAGATGCCAGAGAGCTTAAAGAAAAATCTGAACTCTGCATGTCTGACTTGGGTTGCTTGTAGAGAAGGGGGAAGAGAGGTTATAGGAGGATGAGATACTTTGATCACTGTTTTTAAGGAAAAGGTATCTACTCCGGGAAGTACTTGTACCCTGCTCTCTTCATTACCAGTAGTCCCGCAGAGGACTGCATGTCAACATAACGCAAGGTGCCTCCTTCCCCTGATTGCTTTTTAGCTGGCGATGGCAGGCACTGATAAAGTGACATGAAGACATTTTTCTTAGGATAACGCCGTTATCTATGTTGTAAATGCAAAGTCAAGCAGCTCTTCATCCGTCGTGTTTTAGATCCAGCCTGGGGCACACAGCACATGATGCAAACTGGGAGGTGTGGGGCTACTGGAGACAAGTGATTCACACCGCGGCTGGTCCCCAAACCTCCCCGGTACTCCACGTCCCTCCAGAAGCAGTCACTGCCTTTTCTTTTATGCCTCTTTGCCAGAAATGTTGGGTTTTTTTCAGTAAGAAGCTCATCCCCTTTTGCTACCTCCCTCCCATGCCCTCAGTTCCCCGAACTCCAGTTGAGTTTACTGCAGTCTCAAATTAGAGATACATCCCTCCAGTAAAACCAAGAGGAGGCACAGAGCAGGACAACTGACTTCACTGAGCAAATACAACACACACACCTTTATTTACACTTTTTTTTTTTTTTTTTATATATCAGAAAGCCAAGAGGAAGCACAGCTGTGACCTTGCCAAAGCAGCCGCTGCCTCTGCGCAGCACGGCTGCGCTCTCCACTAGCCAGCCCCTGCCACAAGCACAGCACGTGGAGCGTGGATGGAAGAAGACAACACAATACTAGGGACAAGACAAGCCTCTGCAAAGCCCAAGAGGTGTGTGGTAGAGAAAAGCATTCTGGTCTAGCAGCAAAATGTACTTTAATTCCAGTTCTGGGATATCATGCTTCAATGCCACAGAAAACACAGTACCAAGAAAGAAGACAACTGCAGCAGCCCCGGGAATGAAAGATAATGCTGAAATTATGTGATGTGTTTTCTTCTTACATAATGAGCAAGGAATAGCTACTAGGAGCTTTATAGTGACAGTAGGAGGACATATGTAGGAGAGAGATGGCAAGACAAGTGTCTGGGGAAGTAAAAGGTAAAGAGAAGAGGGAAAGATGGGGGTGGAGGGTATGCAAACAGGAGGGCATGAGAGGAGGTTATGTGAGACCCAGGCTCACTATATGGGGACAAACAGTGCTGGTGGAGAGGAAGGTTGGCATGGACAGGAGTGCTTCAGGGAGAAAACCCTAAGGAGAAGGAGGGAAGACCACAAGGACTGGACTGAGGAGAGAGGGGTTTGGAGGGAAAAGCAAGAGGCCCTCAGGGAGGGGAGAGCTTGCACTGATGGTGAGAGGCACTCCAGGACTGGCATGAGGTATGCTTTGCTATTGCTCTGAATGCTGTAAACATTTTGGTTTTGTGTCTATCAGTGAACATTCAGTTCAGTTTGATACATGTGCTCCTATGGGTAACTGGAAGCCTAGCAGAGTTTTACGTCTCTTATTATTAGTCAGACTTACACATGAGGCAAACACAACACTGGCTAAAATCTCATTTTATATCATTTATGCCTAATTCTCCTATTTTAACATGCACATCTATGTCTCAGAAAAGCTCCTCTAGTAGGAGACACTAAATACCATATACATGAACTCACATGCACTCTCATCCACCCACACCAGCAGACACACACACAGATTTCCCTCCCCTGCTTAGACTAGCAGGACTTTGCCCTTCACACCTTCCCCATGTGGAGGGCAGGGACCCATTGGTACATTAACAAGTCCAGTAAAAGTGCTTGAGATCATCCCAAACCTGGCTGACAGGCCAAAGCAGGAGAAAGAAACTCAAAGCAGAGTAAGATTCTGCATCTGCTTCTGGAGTTAACAACACCTAAAACTTACAGAAAAAGGAAAGGTGATTTGTAAACTCTTCTTCCCTTTTGTTGTCAAAGGACTTGGGAGCTGACTGTATATGTCCCAGCAAACACACAGAATAAAAAGAGCTGAGTGAAATGATTTTTTTTTTTCCCCTCTCTTTGTGTGATGGTACACTCTGACATTGCTTGAAACAGGAGGAAAATTTTGGAGGTGTGTGCTTGTGGAGAGGGGAAATGGGGTTTATGTTATTAAGTTATCAATACCCCTATCACATCAGTAAGGGATGAATCAAAGATAGGATAGTTGTCCTTGATGGGGATTAGTCATCACTCAGTGCTTTCCAAAGCTTTGGCTCAGTCATTATTTCCTTAATCAGACCCTGGTTTAAGGGAAAGAGCTATAAGCTGTCTGTTTTAATTCACTTCAGATTGACATTTGGCATAAAAGCAGCAGCTGGTGCCAATTTCTTCTTTAAAAAATAATTTACTTTAAATAACTAGTCTGCTTTCCTTCAAGAGAGACATACTGTGAGAGCAGCAACAAAATAACAGTGATAGACTCATATGCCTCAGACAATACTTTTGCTCCACTCTATGCTCTAGGATGTTTCCCATGGAGGATATTACCTGGCACCAATTTAAATGGGCAAAACACTTCTCCTGCATCAGCCAGAATGAATACAGTTGCTGTCACCATTGCAGCAATGGCATCTCTAAATGCACCCGCTCAAAGCAATTCCCCAGGTGGATGGAGGAGAGAGGGGAGCTTAGTTTTTACAGAGTGTTGGCTACTTCAAAGTTTTTCCATTAATTCTGACACGAACTGAAAAGATGACAGCACCGACGCTGGAGGAGTGTGCTGAGATATGTTACCTCCTGAGCTTTCTGGAGTCACACTCTCAACAGGACCAGCCGTTGTAGCCATCAGGGAAGCCTGGGAATTGTCCTCGCTTCTGAGTATCTGTTCCTCATTCCTCGACACAAACACCTTGTTTCTGCTGTTTCCTCATCGCCTGGCTGTCTGGGCGCTTTGCTGAAAAGCCTCGGTTGGGATGCGTCAGCTGGCACTAGAGGTCAGCATCAGCCAAGCCCACTCAGAAGGTGTAGCCGTGGCTTTTAAGAAAAATACAAGGCAGTTAACAGCGTTCTGCCTTCTCTTTAAAAGGAAGGACCACATAAGCCTGCTGCTCCTATCTTTCAGATCCTGGGCAGCAGTGGGATGCTTTTTGCATGTGCAGCCAAGAGGAAGGCAGGGCCAGACAATGTGGCCCCCCTCCATCCCTCGCAACACACCTTGTTTGACGCCGCAGCATTGGGAAGCGGAGCTGCCACATTGCAGTGTTTGGATCACCAGTCGCTGGGCCATTTTGTGGTTGCAGTGGTGCTGGATACAACTGGCACCACAGGCCATCTCAAGGAGAACTATTTCAGCCAAAGCAACCTGTGTCCCCAGGAGATCCCAGTCCATCCTGTGTTAGATGCAGGTGTGGTAGACACAGTGGTTCTTGGAAAGGAGAGTTCTTCCAGCCCCTCCTCACAGTCAGTGGCTTTGCAACAGCCCTTACAGGTCAAGCATTGAGAGTGTTTCACCACAATGTGGGGTAATTTTCCCTCATCCTTCCCTTTCACCTATAGCAGTATAGATGATATCACTCTGTTCTACTTCCTGTAGACCAGATACCATGAGAGACAGCCACTGGGTTCAGGACTCCTTATCCTTTGCTTCCATCTTTGACTCCTTATCCTTTGCTTCCATCTTTGACTCCTTCCAGAGCATTGCACAGGTTTCCCCAGACACCTGTCCCATTAGACCTTCTTTGCCAGCTACCTATTTTGCTGAAAAGCGATGGGCCTATGAACAGCTAAACTCATGCCTGGTTGAGCCACTGCGTGATGTGGACCACTTGGATGAATCTGGGGCACTTCCCAGGTCTCACATTTCACTGATCTTTTTCTACAAAACATCTGAAGAATTCTAGAGATGACCAAGCAGGGATTGAAAGGCAGGTTTTCCTAATGAACATAAATTTTGCATGTGCACCGTATTTAGACTTTAGTGTCTTAGAGACCACAGGAATACACCTCCAAAATAAAACAAAGATGCTTAGCATCCCTATCTTGATCCTAAACCTATTTGTCCTAATGTCTTGCACAGCTTCCTTACAAAAAGCCTCAAAACCTGCTTCCTACCTAATGCATGGGTAGTAACGTTTAATATCCATGCAGGCTTTTTGTATCTCGTTTGAAACATGTTATACTTAGCTTTAGAATTCAGTCTACCTAGTTTACACCACACTCCACCAAACCTTTATCACCAGCTTTCTGATGTATCAAACCTACCCACCGCTCTCAACCATAGCAGAGGTTTATAGCCTCTGCTCTGTGGGTGACTGAAAGAAGGAAAAGATCCATGGGGTCACTTTCCAGACCTTCATAAAACTAAGAAAATAGACCTCTGGTCTGTAGGCTCAAATCCACAGACAGGCTGTCTGCTTCTCCACTAGAAAATATTGCAAGAATCTGACAGGCAATAAGCTGGGCCAGCAATGCTGTAGAAATAGAGCCTTCAGATGGTAAGTATTATTGCACAGCACAGAGGACGTGCTACACAACTAACATCCACACAGAGCCTTCTCCTGCAGCTGGCTATCCAAGCTATGGGAATAGGGCCAAAGTATACTTCACTCAGCACTTCACACCCGGACGCTCATCCTGCTCACTGCTTGCTTCCCTGTGTCCTGTTTTAAGCAAGCACCATGCAGCTGGGTCTGTGTCTTTAGTAGTTCTTTACATGGCATTGAACCCACAGTGGACAATCGGTAGGTAACAACAGTCAATAATCAGTAAATAACAAAAATATAATTGTGGTTTTTCATGTTACTTCTGCCTGCCATGTGCTGGTCAGGTACTACATGAAAAATGCTATCTGCCATAGCAGACAGGTCTTGTGCTTTTCTTACATAGCATGGGGCAGATGGGAGACATTCCTTCTTTTGACTCTTTCCCAACAGCTGGCAGGTCATTCCCAAGAAGCCAGCAAGCCTGTTAACATCTCTGGTGGCTGGGAGCCTCTTTGTGTTAGGTTTTGGTACGGTGCCTAGCATAATGAAGCCTGAATGACAACTGGAGTCCTGAGACTGAACTACAGTACAAATAAGTAATATTAATGAAAAACAATCAGTCGCACTAGAAGACTTGGCTGACAGGCTCTAGTGAGAGCTTTTGGGATTGCCTTCCTCATGAGAAAAACTCAGCTCCTTGACAGTCATATGGAAAGGAACACTTAGTCTCCATCTCTGGAAGATAAGGGGCTGTGACAGGGTAGCAGCTGGTGTCATAAGGTGTGCAACCAAAACAGAAAGGTGAGCTGAGTTCGCTGATGGTTTCCCATGAACCATGTGCCTTTGCCTTCTCTCTCTCTCCCCTCTCTCCCTCCTGACAGTCTCTGTATCCAGATCCCATCAGCCAGTGTGGGAGACGATGCTTTGGACTGGACTTAGCTTCACAAGTTTCAGAACTGCCCTTAGGGCCCTTCCAAACACAGGGGAAAGGTGAGAGCTAGGAAGATGTCTGGAAGGATGGAAAGATGCAGTGGTGTTATTTACACACAAACCAATGTAGTAATTTTAAAGGAAACCTGCCTTCCCAACAGATGACCCCATGACTAGAGACAGTTATGGGTTTGTGCTAGAGAGAAACAACTGCAAGATGCTACTGCTAACCAAAAAAGCACAGAAACTCAGAGAGTCCTAATACCACATCTGTATCACACTCTGGAAGCCTCCTCTTCCCTTTCTCCCTCTTTTCTCATTCCCACTGCTTTTAACACCAAGAAAGCTTCACGTTTAGACATGGGTTTTGGCTGTTGTGGGAAGCACATGGTTTCTGAGGCCCCCATCGCTGCTCTAGCTGAGCCTCCTCTGGGTTTGAGACAGCAGGTCTGTGTAAATTTTGGATCTCAGAAACCTGGGGTAAGAGTCTTTCTCCATCAGGCTGTGCACCTTCCCCTGAGCTTGGTCAAAGCAAGAGAGGGAGGGCTCTTGCATATTTCTTCTTGTCAGCTCCCGTGTCTGGAAGTCTATGTTCACCTGAGAAAAGTAGCAGAAAAGAGTCGGTACTGAGTGAGCAGTTTTCCTGCTTCAGATGGCACATTTCACCTCAGCTATGGCTGTAAAAGCTGCCACAGAACCAAGGTCCTACAATCGTCCACGCCTGAACCGTCCCTCAGTCTCTGCGGGGTTTAGCCATCCAGCATTACAAATCCTTCCCAAAATTTGGAAAAGTTGAACTAGATTTTTAGTGATCTGAGCACTTCTAAAATCAAATTACTTTTATTCTGGCTCTTAAGCACGAGTTTATGTAGCACATGTAAAAATGCTGACTCAGCCTAACCTCTCTCCTGTCAACCAAGATTTCTTTAGTCTCTATTATTCACTACATGTCTAATATAAGGGTGAATGAACTTTTAGCTAGGTTTAAACCATTAGTACATTCTCATTAAATGTTTTTAAACTCTGTTGTAATAAAATAAATTGTTTGATTTTTTCCCATAACAGCTTCATGTTACAGTATCTCGAGCAGGGACTTGAAAAAACAAATCACCCTCAAGTTATGACTGCCGGTTTTTTGCAAAACCAACAATGTGAGTTCTCCTGTTTTCTTTCCCTAGCAAAGCAGACAGCATTTGTTAGGGTTATTGTTTAAAACCTGGCTGAAAAGATGTTATTTGTTGTTATTAACCCAGTGTTTAAACTTAAAAGAGTCTAGAAAGCAAAACTGTCTGCCTTAACTCAGATGACCACAACATAGTTTAGCTCTCTATGCCACTTAAAGGTCATTTCTAGCATGGCAAAATTATGGTAACAGGACCAAATTTTAGGAAAGACCCCATCCAAGCTGTGCTCACATTTTGAATCCAGATTCAGCCCTGCAGCCCTGAAAATCTTACCCCACTTCATGAATAACAGCAGGAAGATGCTCACTGAGGGTGATGAGGGTTTGAAGCATGCCCCGAGACACCCACATCCCTTGGTGTAAATCTGGGTGCTTCTCAGCGACCTCACAATAACCTTCCTAGTTCAAAGCTGGAGTAAGGAGAGCCTTTTCAGGGGGATCCCCTCGCAGGCACCTGTATTGTGACAAGCACACGTGCAATCTAGCAGGAGGACTGCTGTCAAAGAGTGGGTGCAGTAAGCACCCTCCTTGGTTGCATTATGAATACAATAACACAACCCAACATCACGACACAGGATCTGACAGTCACATCAGCCTGTCAGTACTTGAAAGAGAATTTAACAATTCCAGGCTTCAGGTTGTGACTGCACTTTTTGTTCATCTCTGAGTTATTGCTCGCATATATTATGAGGTCTAATTGAGTTGGGAGTTAGTCAGCAAATAAACACTCCTCCCTGGAGAGTCAACAAGTTAGTCACTCGTAGGATGGTTCTATGCAAAATGTCCTGTGAGAAATGAGCCAAATAGCCTGCTCAGGGATTGAGAGTAAATTAGAGGAACAAGGTGAAATATTCCTAGGAAGCTCGTAGAGGTTAGGAAATGTAGGTTGCAGTTACCAGTGAACTCACTTAGTTACCAGTGACTAACTTAGTATCATCAAAGTAGTTGCCCTCACCAGGGAATGAGTCACCATGAGCAGAGGCAGCTGTAGCAGGCAGGATGGCAGCCCCATCCTCCTTATATCCACTCCTTACCATCACCTCTGGGAGGGGAGGGAGGGCTCCCCAACGCCCCGGCACCCTGCAGGTCCCTGCTGGGGGAGACAGACCTGCCCTCTGCGCCACAGGGATGCTCCGCCTGCCTGGGGTGCTGGCATACCCACCTCTCGAGGAGCCTGCACATCGATGAACTCCTCAAAGATCCGCTGAGCTTTGGAGGCCAGCTTGGCTGCTGAACGGGTCTTCTTGAAGTCCTCACAGGCGAGCCAGAACTCCAGGTTTTCCTCGCTGAACTCTGTCTTCAGGAAAGCACGGAAAGCAGCCAGCCCATCTGCAAGAGAGATGTGGGGAGCTAAAATGGGAGAAGAAAGAGAGCAGGGAGCAGCCTCTTTTAATAGACATCCCCCCATCCACCCTTGCCTACCAAAGACCACTTGATTTTCCTCACAAGGTCCACGATCCCAGGATATGTCCATAACTTACACCATTGCATCAGCTGGACTCTTATGAGCTGCCATGAAGCCAAACGCCATTTCCTGTTGCTCTGAAAAACTGTTTTGCCAGCTAACATAGCAAAAAGCCTTATTCAAGACTGGGGCACCTAACCTTTGAAAAGTTCCACTTGAAAACATCAGCCTTCAAGATGACACAGTCTCTTTGTCACAGCATCTTGTGCATGTTAATGCAACACTTTGTAATGTCCTATCTGTCATTAAGCAAAACCTTTAATAAAACATAGCGTCTGTGGACCTGTCTCCTATGTTTTCTGTCACTTTGCTTTATTGCCTTGTGACATACTTTTAGTTCTTATTTAATCAGAGGAAGGATCTTGAAGACTCTAACTGTTATAGCTACAATAAAGGGGATTGGGAAAGGACACAGCATAATTACTACTTGTCTAGTCAGTGGTAAAAGTGTTCTTATCACTTGTTAATGCTTAGACATTGTGACATTTCAGTAATGTAATCTGAGTCAGCTGGGGCAGATTAGAAATACAGAAAGATTTATTAGGCAATCTGTGTCCTCTTAAAGCCCTGCCTGGGTATATTTATGGACACAGCTATTGTTTTTTTATTTCCTTTCCCTGAATGGTACCAGCAGTTGAAGTAGCTGAAGGTTTCACACATGCCCTTTCTCTTTCCTTTAGCCTTGGGATAAATTTGGCTTCTATAATATATTTTTTTTCCAGTAACATGTTTCTAACTTTTCCTGGTCTTTTTCTATAGGGTCTGAGCATTTGTAGTTCATGACTGGAAACCTCCTGAGTCAGCACTGGCTGCTTCCAAGCAAGTGTCTAAAAATATTGATGGAATCGGGAATGCACTCAGCAAGGTCAGACTCCCTGAAATGATGAGAGGAACAAGTGCATTGTGTGCCTGGCAGGGACAGAGAAAGACCAATGAAGGTTTGTAGGACCTGAACTCTGGCAGTGCTGAGGGTTGGGGGGTCCACCTGCCCCCTTTCTGCTGTGGGAGATCTTGGCAGTGCTGCTTTCTCTCCTTCCTCCCATGGCAGGGGGCGTGGGAGCTGGGATGGAGCCTGAGGGGTGATGCCTCATGCTTGTTGTAGGTCATTTCCACACGTCCACAGCAAGACTAGGCTCACCAGGTACAGGGTTTGGCCATGTCACAGGATCCATCACAAACTCCCCTACAGCTTTGTCCTTGTTTTCTTGACTGCACTGAGTATGCAAGGAGAAGCAGCAATGTAACACTGCCCTTTTTCTCCCTTGTGTGTCCTAATCTTATTCCTGCTTCTCTTGTTTGTGGTAATAACTTAGGACATGAAGATATTTTTCAGCTCTAGGTCCTGACCCTCAAGCCCTAAGAAATGGCCCTAGGTGTTGAACAGCAACTAACAATCCTATTTCTGGCTGCATGTAAGTCAGGGGAGATGTCTGACTGCCCAGATCCTCAAAGGGAAAGGCAGAAAATATATTAGTCCAGACAGGACCAAACTACAGGCTAAAGTTCTCCACTCTGTTTCTCAAGGCTCCTTCATTAATGGGCTCTGCACTGCTAACTGCTCCATCAGTGGTCTGAATTGCAAAAAGCACAGCAATCGTCTGCCGAAACCGGTACGCCCTGTCTCAGCTATGCTTACTTCTGTCAGCCCCAGGAGTGTGAGAAATAGCTGTATCATACCAGCTCATTGCGCCCCTTCTTAATTAATGCACTTTTAGGAGAAGACTGGCATTTTGGACTGCTACTGTGGATGAAACCAGGGCTCTTGTCCATGAGCACTGCAGAGCAATTAACAGCACAGATTGTGGTTCAAACCTGGGGTAATAACGTGACCTTAGCCTCAGAGAAGCCTGCAGAGCATAGAGTGCCACAGGCATCCCCAGGAGCAGGGTACCTGTTAGGATCATGCTGCCCATGGCTTCTTTGAGCCTCTCCATGGGTAGGTAAATATGGTGAATGAGAGAGATGGTTTAGGGCTGCTCCCCTTCCTGAAATCTAGGAGAAAGAAAAATTTTTCAAAACCTGTGTCCCCCTTAATGCTTATGAAATTCACAGGGCCTGTGAGGGACCAAGTGGAGGACGTGAGAATAGAGCAGGGAGTCTTTGCAGGAGGAAAACATAACAGCAGGCTGACAGGTTTCATAAAGAAGAAAGTTCGAAAGGGAGAGAGCAGCTCTTCTCTGAGATGTATGTCATTTTATATATAATCACCTCCTAGGACATTTGACATTAAATATTCCAGCACATTGCTGTGACTATACAGTCTCTGCCATGTGTCCCTGCAGAGGTCTTCACTCCCCATGCCTCTGCCCCCTTTCCTCTACAACAGCCCCAGAGCCCCAGCACTGACAGAGGATCACTTGCAGAAATAGCAGATTTGAGTGGCAAATATCTGCAAAATACAGTATCTGCTAAAAGAAGGAGACGTGATAATTGATGAGGTGAGAAAGGTGTTTGCTTCAGCCCTGACCCAGACAGCAGCCACAGCAGGTCCCTCCTGGGACCAGGAGGTTTCCACATGCCCTGCCTCCTGCTCTCATGTCAATCAGCTCCTTTTTATCCTGAAATAAGTTTAGACAGCAAATAGAAAAATAATAGTGTCTGGCTGTTCTCCACTTCTTTATATATTCCTGTCATGCCCTCCTCACAGCCTCTGAAGAGCTGGAAATGATGAGACTGGACCTGGGAGAACCTTGCAGAGGAGCTCTTGGACACAGGAGAGGTCATCCTTGATTCAAGGCTGCCTGGCTTTCCACAGATTTCATCTCTAGCCTTTGACCACCTGCCAGCATTTACAGCAGTACCTGGCAGTTGGAGTTTAGAGATGGGAGCCCAGATAACTGCAGTAGTAAATCACAGCCCACAAGTTTATCATGGAACAATGACAAACCTGATTGAAAGGGCAAGAGGGCAATTAAGTATGGGGACTGCCACCACCTGAGCTGGAATTTGACCTGGTTGTTAACTTTAATCTCCTCCTGCACATGACAGCTATCAGGGAAGCATCGCTTGTGAAGGTCAGCATTTCAAAGCTCATCCCACCCAACTGGACAGCTCTTTTGCTCGGGCAACCAGCACTGGGTTGCAGTGTGATATGAGCAGAGAAGCATAACCTACTGAGTCAGCCTCCTGGAAGACGGTGGGAACACTGAGAAGTGCGATTCCAAGGGGATGCTTTACAAAAAAGCACAGAAATTAAAAGCGGGATTAGAAGTCTTCAGATGCAGCAGTACAAGATATTCATGTGTAGCCTAAAGGCATGGCCATTCAAGAAGACAGAGACTTATAATAGATGCACAGTCCTTTAAGACAACTATTGGACACTTATTCAGGAATTTGACTCAAAAGCAGTGAGCCCTGCTTTAAGTCAAAGGAGTAAATCAGTACTGACAGAGCAGGTAGGATGAAGGCAAAGAAATGGAGCTCTTCTACTGAGTGTCAAGAGTCTGAAAGAGGAGCTGAAGATGTTTGCTTTTTACTTTTGCAGTGTAAATTTAAGCTTCAAAATGCCCTGCTCTCCATTAAGATAGACAAAGGGAATGCACAAGAGGATTGTCAGGAAGGATTATGCAAGTATTTGTACATTACCCCATCTCAAGAGCTTGCAGTGCACTGTACAGCTACAGCCCTGCAGGTCACCTGTGAATTAGACAGTTACAAGATTTGTGTTTTATAGATGAGGACTGCCAGGCAGATCAGTGACTATGTGAGGGTTAGGACCCAGATGCTCCTGACATCCCATTAAAATGTTGTTCATCAGGCCATGGAGACTGGATCATTTCCAGCAAGGAGGGCTGTGGAGGAAGGGACTGAACTGGCTGGCACAAAACACAACACAGGTCTTAACTAAGGCAAGCTTCAGCAAAGCGAGGAAGAGCTGAGATTAGTGGCTCAAATCATTCAGGCAGACAGCTTAATAACCAAGCATTAGCCACTGTCAGAGTAAGAAAGCAATCAACAACCATTTATTTAATGCATGCATTTCACGCCATCGGGACAATCAGCACTTCATGTAGGGAATAAAGGTAGAGTCCTTATGGCTGGTAGATGAATGGATTAGCTCTGTGGAGCATGTTGGGTCCAGGGCTGAAGAGACAAGGCCACAGTGCTCTGTATAACATACGCACATGTTCTCATTGCTGCTTAGCATTGCTTCATTGAATGTTAGCTGCCTGTCAACAGCACAATGCTAATGCTAATGCTGTTCTGGCTTAGAAAGAACTAGGAGTAGGTTGGGTTATTCCTGTGCTGTGTAGGAAGAAGAGCAATGTGTAGAAAACAGAAAGAGAAGGACAACAATAAAGTTTGGGCAGTAGAACACAGAGATCACAAAAATAAGGGCGGGGGGACGGGGGACACACACGACCACCCTTGAGATAAAAATGTAAATTCAGTGCAAAGGTTTTCTGCATGGGATGCTTCATTGAAAAGTGACTAAGGGTTGAGGACAGACTGTCCTGCTGGATTCTGGACAAATGACAGCCATGTGTCCAGCCCCGTGAGGGATGCAGAATGAGACATGCCATTGCTTGTATTTCCCTCCAGCAGCCTGTCAAAAGAAATCTCCATTTGTCTGACCAGCCTGTACCTCCTAGGCATGGGTACAGAGTGGGGATTACTCCTCAGTTACTCACATGCATGCACACACACTCTGCAGACCACACTGAGCTCCACTTCCATGAGAGCCATTGCTAATCCGCACTGGCACAAAATGGGAAAAGACGTCAAAATCTAGCATGTTAAAACCACTGCTTTTGCTTACTGAGCACCCAAGAAAGAATGATACAATATGATCTATCACTTACTCTCTCAATTCCCTGCTGAATGTCGGATTAAACTCCTCTCTCCTCTTGCTTGCTGCGCTCAGAAGCCCTGACCCAAGGGAACACTGCTACCCTGTGCTTGTGTCTCTTGCAGCGAGCTCGAACAAGGCTCCTGCTGCAAAATGGGGATCAACTGGCTGACCCTATGCGTTCAAGTTTATTTGCTTCACCCGTTAGCAGAAACAAGAAGGATGTCATTGTGTTGACACATTCACCTGGGGCTGTCAATGAAATGGAGCTGAGCTGCATCCTACCATTCAGCACTGGTTACTCTAGAAGGGCTAGGCTGAGGGATGCTGAAGGCCCAATGCCAGTGAAAAAGGAAGGTGTGGGTGCGGCTGAGAGTGCTTTTCTGCCTTTCCTATTCACAATCTCTGACTAATGCCAACACAAATTATTCTTTAAACAACCAGGGAATTAATCCAAATCAGACCACTCCATACAGATGGGCATTACCCAGCCTGAGAATGTCTGGGGACAGGCAACTGCTTCAAAACCCAAAGGTTTTCAATCCTCCACTCAAGATGCTGCCAGACAGCAGCATGTCAGGATCAAACATTACCTACAGAGCCCATTCATTAAAACCCCAAAGAACAAGCTGTCTGGAAAGGACCCAAAACCACCATAAGCATCTGACTGCCCCAGATAGTGCCACTCAACCCCATGAAATCAGCATCACATCTCCCTTCCAAAATAGATGTCCTGTCCATTTAGAAAGAGTTTATGACAGATGTGTCAAGCAGAAGTGGTCTACCTGCTGATGCCATGAGCCCCAGGGGACATTCTCCCTGAGCTCAGCTGGGGCTTAGCCCATGCCCCCAAGCATGAATTCAAAATTTCCCTGGCTAATATTGTTCACCTGGCCATTCACAGAGAAACTGGACTGAAACAGTTCTGTCCTTCTCTTGTCACTAAAAGTAGAATATTAGCTGGCAGGTTCACTACAGACAGATGCAGGCAGGCCAGGTACTGCTTTTCTTACTCAAATTTTGGCCAGATAAGGCACAAGACTCTCTCACCTGTCTAACATCAGCACATCTCTAACAGCAAAAATGCAACTCTCTTGTTCTGCTTTCATAGCAGATCTTCGGCAATTCTTCCGTGTTTTGGATACAAGTATATATAAGTAAAACCACAAATATTTTACAATATAATTTCTTTTATGGATATACGTTCTTCTCTCCTTTAAGCCAATGTAACTAAAATAACACTTCTGTTTCAACAGACCTTTTTTGTATTTGCATCCTTATAACCCTTGACCACCGGGCTAGCAAATCCAGAAACTTCAGGTGAAGACCAGTTGCAATATATCCCTTTAGAAAGTAGTTTATTAAACAACACTTTTTTTTTGTCACTGATTACCAGGCAATGTCACCATGACTGCTGATAAAAAAAGATTAATTTAAATTTTAAAGATCACCTTCTGTTGCTATTAGGAACTGAATATTTTTCATTAGGTGCCAGAGAGTTATCAGAATTACTTCCCATTTTAGAGACAGGAAAAATTCTGATAATTCATTTATCACTCTATGGGGCTAATTTATTAATAAAACCAGACACTCTTCTGGAGGCTGTTGGATGAAATAATTTAACTAAGGTTTGTTTTAGCATTTGCAGCAGTCAACTGAAGAGGGAACAGTCTGTATAATGTCAGCATGTAGATGCGTAAATCCACTTTGTAACCAAAGCACTTTTGTTGCAGTCTGTATCTAATAACAAAAATTTTAACTTTTACACTGGTGAAGAAAGAACAGGGGCTGGAGGACAGAATTTTAACACTGATGTGAATACCCTATCCTCGCCTCTCCTCATCCCCCAGGCACCCTATAGTCTCTTTGGTGCATTTTTCCCTTTTTGTGTTGAATTTCCACAAAAGAAATGTTCCCTCTTAGCTATACCCAGCTACACCAATGTATTTTTTTCTATTGGCTGCAAGAGCAATGATCTCAACAAGATACTGCTGCTAAAATTATATATTGCTTTTTCTGCCTTGGACAGCCAGCCTGTTTAAAGTTGTCACTTAATTCCCTGCCAAAACTGTTGCCATCTCAATAGAAATCCAGCAGAATTACACTTTATTTAAAATAATAATATAATTCTACAGTTACATTTTAAAATATAAGTATGGAAAAACCCAAATCTCTAAGAAAGCTAGACAGTTCCTTATTGCAATAAAATAGTTCACCACCCACATTGACTTTTCACCAGCCTTGACTCGGTCTTGTTTTATTCTCCAATAGAAACACATTAATGAGCCTACACTGTGAACTTCACTGTCTTGTTTTTAATTTCTCAGCATGAAAATGTTGGTGAGGCACAATAATGTTTTCTGAGAACTGATACGATTGATCTATTTAATGGAGCAAAGTGCACTGATTATATGTTATAAGGTTGCCAGATGTGAAATGTTCAGGTTTGCATTAGTAACTGTAAATGAGATCCTGCTAAGGGCTACCATGCATGATTTCTCTGCTACAGAGCAAGTTGTTCAAGGTTACTGAACCACATACGCTGTTGTGTGAAGGCACGCCCAACAAAGGCTGTGTTTTGACACAACATAGCTGCACAGCAGCTCAGAAGAGCAGCTGGAGGGAGAGGGAAACAAGACGGTGTCACAGATCTCAGGGGGCTTTAGCAAGCTGAGAACCTGCCGTTTGCTTGTGTGGAAAGACTGGACCTGGGGGCATGTGCCAAAGGAGGGTATGCATGGCTACAGCCTCGGGGTCCTGCCTCCAGTGAACTCCCAGGAGCTGGAGAAGGTTAGACATTGGGCTGATGATGACTTGTCATGGTTTGAACCTGGTTGACAGCCAAAATAAGTCTATCCCAGCTGAAACCAGGACATGACTGTATCAGCTGTGATCACCCAGCCAGGAGCAAATCCAGGAAGGGAACCCACAGAAACTCCATCGCCTTTTAATCAGACAACAAGTCCTGTCTATAAATGCTGGTGACCATTGCTAGTGGGTAGTAAGTGGCCATGCAAGGGACTGTTCCTGTGCTATGCAATGCACACTTTGTTTGCCCTAGCTACAACCAATATTAAGGGTACTGGGGAAAAAGAAAAAAACGTAGAATTTGATGTCTACTCACATTTATGGGACAAGAGGACATCAAAAGAGTCTGCCCATCTTGTTGCTTCTTCTGTTGACAATCTTCTGTAAAGAAAGGAAGTGGCGAGTTACAGGCAACCTATGGCCACTGATCCCCTCTCGGGCTGTTTGACAAGGACACAAGAAAGGCTGGAATTCTTCTCACCTAACTTTGGAGGTCTACAGTGTAGAGATCTCCAGGTGAGCAAGTGACCCTGGGATCCCTTTAGAATCAATGAGGAGATAATAAGGGACTTGCAGGGACCTGACTCTCTTCATCTCACATCCCCAGGCAGGCAGGTAAAATAAGCCAGATGAATCGCACCCAAAAAGGGACCAATTTTTCCACATTGACTCTAAGGAGAGGCCCAGGGAACAAGTTCAGATGTAGACATTTATACTGTAAAAGCCAAAAGTAAAGTGAAATGAAACCCACCCCTGCAGAAGTGTTTATTTCTCTTTCCTGACTTTCAGGGGAAGGTTAGAGTCTTAGTTCAGATGCAAGCAGTGATTTGTGACCAGATGAATCCCATCTCATTCAGCTCAGATCAGGACTTTGGATTGTCTGAATCATCTACCTTAAGCATTGTGCAAACTAACACAGGACTTTTTTGTAGTGTTTAATAGCAAGGCTTAGCTAAAGAAAGCCGTGACCTGGAATTGCTGGTCACCTCTTATCCGAGTCAACTGCTCAGACTTTGATTTGTGATGACAGAGGGGTAAATTACATCCTCAAATACATGCAGACATTTCCCATGTAGAGCAGTGGGGACCATGTGTGTGTCCTGTCTACAGGAGAACTCGTATCAATGATCCAGGTATTTTCTGAGGCTGTTCCTGCTGTATCAGAGCTGTCTTGTTTTCCTCCTTCCTTGTGGCTAGAAGAACTAGTCAAAGCTCATACAAAGTACAATAAAAGGAAGACAGTACTAGAGAGGGTGGTGGGCGGGGAGGGGAAGGACAAAAATGGGGTTGGGGTGGGATGCTGCAGCTATACTCACTTCAAAGCCCTGTTGGGCTTGTCCGGAAGAATAGCTGTGAAATCATTATATGAGTCTGATTTGTGAGACAGGCAGCCCAGGCGAGTCCTCATCCCTCTGTTCCTGTGGTCGATGTGGGGGAGCAGGGGTGTGAGCAGGGGAAAACCAAAGAAGATGACAATTATAAGTCTAGCCAGAGCGGGAAAAAAAAAAAAAAACAAACCACAAACCAACCAAACAAAAAAACCCCAAAACCACCTCAGTGGCTCTGTGCCTCATCAGACCTGTGTCCTTGGTTCCCTCATCTGTAGGAGGGACCCTGAAACATCTCCAGTAAGATGCCAAGCAGACACTAAGGACGGACACAGCACCAGAGCAGCCAAAGGCTCACCCACACCGGTCATTCAGCTGCTCTGACTGGCAAAAGGCTTTTAAAAGCTGCACTTTGGGATGGTTTCTTGGAAGGACCTGCTCTGGTCAGGTGAGAGAGAAGATCAAAGGGCAGCAATGCCAGAAATCAGACACCACGGTCCAACAGCACCTGAAACAGCACAAATACCAGGGCTGAAGGGCAGGGGGAGGGTGGAGAAAGAAGAGAGGGAGTAAGGCACCTGCAAGTTGAACCTGTGCTGCAGAGCCATGAGACCCCTGACAGGATCCCAAGCAGTTTCTTTAGACTCAGAGTTACATAAGGAGGCTAAAACTGCCTCTTTCCTGACAGGCTTACCCAGGCAGAAAATGGTTTTATTGCTTTTTTCCTCTAAATTTCAAACCGGCCCCAGAGCCTTTGCTCCTCCGCCAGTTCCTTGCATCCTTGACAGCCCCTTCCCGGGACAGCTGTCACATCCGCAGCATCCTTCATTACATAACCTCAGGACCAGGAAGGATACAGAGGGAGAGGGAAACGCAACACGCACACATGAATTATATGGGACTGGCATTGTCTCCTCTCAAAAATATATAGGGGCTGGTTAGTGGTTTTACACGGTCTCTAGCAAGGCAGAGCCTGTGATTTGTCTCTCCAGCCCAAAGGCGCCTCTTCTACTAGCTTCCCCAGACACTGAACAAGACTATCCTCTCATCCGGACCATGGGAGGAGGATTTAGTGACCTAGTCTCCACCTCAGCTGCTGGACCCATTTCTGGGCTGGAGAAAGCCCTTCTGAACCCTGCTGCCAAACAGATATCAAATACTTTCTGTGACTGCAGAGGGAAATACAGTATTTTTCCCTTCCATATGTAATTCTTGCAGAACACTTCAGCACCAGCAATGGAGCCAATCTGGAGCATGCCTGTTTCCCCCTTCTCCTCCCGCTCTTCAGAGAGTTTCTATTATGGCACATTTTAATGTAATCTTAAAGCAAATTAAATGTTAATTAAATGCAATGAGTGTCTCCCTGGTGCAGCTCAGGCAGCTCACAGCGTTTAAGAAGCACAAAAACCTGGAGATCTTCAGTCACAGGAATTGTTGCACAGCCTCCAACTATGGACCCATGACTGGTGGTCTCAGGATGCTGTGCCACATAAACCTCAAACACCAGCGCAGAAACACCACATTCAAAGTGTCATGTTCCTGGCTGAGCATGCTGGACCTGCTGTGCTTGAATGAGCACCGAGTCCACTGTAGGATCTTTCTGGTACCTTTCCTGATACCTCCTACCCCCAATCTTTATCTTCCCTGCACTGTTTGTTCTAACAAGCTCATGAATTTCTCAGCAAGAGGTGTGACACGCATTACTGCAATGCTGCTCAGATTTCTTTTTGATGCCTGAGATCAAGGGACTGCAGCAGGGAATCAGTGTGTATGGGGGACAGAGATGTTGTGCCACGAGCAAGGAGCTTGTCTCTCATGGAACACCAGTCTCTAGGTGAGGACTCCCATGACAAGACACAGGAGAAAGAGAGGGAAAGCAGCCGGGTATGCAGGAGGTGTAGAGGCAAGGGAAGGGCAGAAGGGAAGAGGGGACACTGCAGCAAGCTGAAAGGCTCGCTGGACGAGGTAGACAGTGACAGGATGGGCAGGGGTGAGGGATGCATCATGTCTTTTCAGTTACCTCCATGGGATCAGTAAGGCAGCCATTCACGCATCCAGTTATAGTTAACCCTTTAACTGGCTGGCTTGGACGGCAGTCAGGGCTGTTTGCAGGAGGCAGGAGTGCGGGAAGGAGAGATTTACTGTTTCATGTCCTGGCACTTAAAATTATATCAAAGAATCCTCTGCAAAAAGCCAAAAGGACGGACAGTTGTTCTCAACCCATTTGATTCTTGCCTCCTAGAGTGGAAGGTCAGTTTTTCAGTGGAAGACGTTCAGAGCTGAGGGATGATCACAGAGGAGAGACAGCATTTCCTTCTAAGACCAGGACCGCAGGTTAAGTCCAGCTTCAGGTCTATAGTGATTTGAGTTTGGCGTCACAGCTCAGCACAGAGCAGCGGGAGTTGACATTAGCGCACTCATCATTCAACACCTCTGAAGGTCTCTCCTCAACAGGCAGAGCTCCAGGCTGACCTCGCTAAGAAGACCAAACTAGCTCTTGTCCCTGTCCCTCCAGGTCATGGCTGATGTTACTGGCCAGGCATCATGGAAAAGCTGGCACTGCAAATAAAATAACAGGAGGACTTCACGCGTCTGCAGATGCTGGTCCTTTCACCATCACAGGTTCAAGCACTCACACAAAAACAACTCAAAGAAAGCATCTCCTCTTTGGGGCAGTGGAAACCTGTAGGAGCCAACAAGGAGATGCACAGTCTGCAAAGGGGATGGAAAGAGGGAGGGGATGTCAGGGTCCCTGTGAGCCTTGGCACACAGGCAGCTGGTTGAACAAATCTCACACCAGAGAGTGAAGGTGAGATCCACCAGCCCCGAAACTGATGGGACAGAGAACAGGACAGTACAGTGATCAAAGGGCAAAGGTTTCTTATTTGCCAGGACAGGGCCAAGCTCCAGGTAACTTCCATGTCTTCCTACCCAGAGGGAACAACTGAGGGGGAGACAAAGGAACTGATGAGAGCAGAGACTGTGTGCAAAGGAGTCAGGACCCTTTGCTGGGGCCTGGGGAGATCCCAGAGCTTGGGCTGCCCAATGCAACATCCCTTTTAAAACCTGATTACATTAAAAACGCACAAAGCCTCTTCCCAACTAAATTAATGGAACTGGGATTGCGCTACACGCCAGCGAGTGCATTTCCTTAATCCCTACCCTGACCGGCTGCTTCGATACACTTTAACTGAAATCAATCCTTGTAATTCCTTAAGCCCCTTTAAATTTCCTCATTAACAGCCTCACCCACATGTGGGGCCACAGCACATGATTTTCTAGAGTCCAGCAGCCCCTACTCCTCCTTACTGCTGCTGTTCCGAGGTGACAGCTGGAAGCGGACCTGGGTGCCCTCTCCCTTGCAGCCTCCTCTAGCAGCCTGGTTTTGGGGTACTGTTATGAAACAGCCTTCTGCTCACCCCCGCTCCCACCTGCTCGCCAGCCCCTGCAACAACCACCTGCACAGCTGAGCAGCACTGAACTTCCCTGTGATCCCAAAGTCTGACTGACTTCATGGATGCCAAGACCTGTATTTCCTGTGAAGGCAGTCCCACTGCTAGGCTGACATACCCGTAGATATTTCTCTCTGGTTGCAAATAAAGACAGTCAGTTATGACTTTAGAAATATGATATGTGGCGCCTGGTAAAGGCATCCCAGTAGGGGTCCATGGTGAGGTTTTTTGCCTCCCACTCCATCATTCATTCTACCTCCCCCCTCCTATGAAAGGACCCTGGTCAAGGAGAATTGCCAGTCTCATCGTGGATGTGTTTTGGGGGTTTCTCCTTGGGAGACAGAAAGGGAGGGGTGTGATTATAACACTGTGGTTATCAAACCACCCTGGGAAATCACCTGAGCAAAGGTAAAGAAGCCATCCCAATAGAAAAAAATTAGCAGCACAAAGGTTAAAAAAAAAAAAAAAAACCAAAAAAACCCCAAACAAACATGAAATCTCAGGGGCTTCAAAAGATTAAGACCATCCATTCACATGCAGAGAAAGCCAGAAAAAACTGAACACAGAGGCACTGCAGACAGACACAGAGAAAAAATATACTCACTGCCTTTGACCTGTCCTCTCTGCCGGTGGGTCTGTGCTGACAGCGTGGTCAGAGAGGCTCTGGGGAGAGAGCAGAGCGGTCTTCTTCAGAGACAACCCGCTGCACGGGGTGAAAGTCACACTTTGACAGCCCTCCCCTCCCCACCTCTCTCCGGGCGCAGCTCTGAGCAGCTCTCTCGCATCCAGCAAAACCCCTCCAAGCAGCCCCAACCCGGCAGGCTGGGGCTTGGCTGCGCAGCCGGCTCCCACTGCTCACCGGCGGCACCACCGAGGAGCCCACCAGACCAGCACGTTTTGCCGCATCCCCTCCTCACCCACCTGGCAACAAAACCCCAGCTTCTCCCCCGTTGGAGATGGGGGACCGCTCCGCATATGGGCGGCGGATGCCAAAGGCTGGCAGAGAGCATCTGGGGGCGGGGAGGGGGGGATGCCTGCGAAAGCACTCGCTGTTGTCACCCTCGGTATGTTGGAATAAAGGATCCGCCTGCATCGTTTTAATCGGCTCCCCTGAGGTTTAAGGAAGGTTGCTGCCCTCAGATCATCAGGAGTTGCCACAGACAAGGGCACGGGAGAGTTTAAAGAGCCCAGGTGCCAGCAGGGCCAAATAAATTCCTTAACAGGCAAGGGACCACCTTATTGCAGGGCATGGGATGAAAGAAGAAAAAATCCACCCAGCAAGTCAGTGATGTGACCGACTCCTTGCACCCGTCTCCCCTTCTCTGACCCGATGCGTGCAGTCCTGCTCACTCCCTGCCCCGCAGCAGGGTCCCTGCAACCTCCCTCGCAGTGCTCACCTTGCAGTAACAAGCTCCAATTGCCTTTTCTCTCCCTCACCCACACCTCCATCCTCCAGAGGCTGTATATGGGGGTCCAGTGCACCCCAGTGACTCTAACAACAACCTAACCCCCAGCCCCCCAGTTCTGGGCTTAGCTCAGCCACCAGTAACACCACCTGAGTGTCGTGCAGGCTGCACAGGCACTGATGTGGGTCGCTGATCCATTGAGAGCTCAAACTGTGGGATCTCCATTGCTTTTTTGATCCTGAAAAAGTTGATTGACTTTAAAAAAAAAAAAAAAAGTCCTCTGCAGTTGTACAAGTCATTGCCTTTTTCCTGAAAACTTGTAGTCATCTGCCTCTCCTCTGCTAAAACACTGCTGGGCCTGACATCCCGGTGCTACTGGCAGGAAACATGTCTCGAGATAGCACATTATCACCAGGCAACATCCATGGGGGAAGACAGAATTCTGCAAAACTTATTACAAAAACACAGGGCTTAGTAGCACTGCAGCAGTGATCCCAGATCTCCATCATCTTGGATCCTCTCCTTCATAGCTCAACGTGGCAAGGAAATAGTTGCCTTGTTCTCATCCTCCCATTGCAAAGTCCAGGTCATCCTAACTCAGATTAATCATGTCTCCAGTTACCAGAAGGCAAGCACTGAAAAAAAATGCCATGGCTGATTCAATTTCCTCTCAGCCAAGGTCAAAGGTTGAGTTTCATCTTACGCCTCTAGTAAGACAGTCTGGTTTGTTCAAGCTAAATAACAGTCAACTTCAGCCCTTGCCCCAAGGCCAAACCGAATATAACATCACCAGGGGTTTAACTTCTAACATGTCATTTTTGTTTTAAAGCATTTCCACACTTCCAGGTTCTCCCTGGACAACCGTAGGATGACACAAGTAGCAACATTTTCATAATACTTCCAGGACAACCCTCAGATCTCATTTACACACACAGACATTGTGGGGTGGAGGAGGTCAACAAAATGTTCAGTCAACGAAGCTCTAGATAATTCTGGTCCGTTTTTCAGATACTTGGACTTTGCTGCAGTCTCAAACAGAACAAAAACTCTGATCCACTAACTCTGGATGGGATAGATCAGAGGACCATGTGAGTGCTCCCACTCCTCCTTCTGCCTTTACACCAGTTTATACACGGCCATCTCATAACGATCATCAGTTTGGACAGAGATCCCAGCTCCTATTTCTCCAGTATGTCAGTACACCCTGTTTGTGACCTCAGCAAGATCCTGGAGCAACCCGTAAATTCCTCTGAACATCAATATTTTTTTCTTCTGGTTTCCTGGGTTCAGGTGTGAGTTAATAGAGAACAAAAATAAGTGAACTGTGTTGACACAGGCACTATGGGAAATGTAATTAAATTGCAGATAAAGGGAATTATATTTTTACAGGGTAATATTTTAGAAAGCTTCTGTGCAGTAGAAGAGGTTTATAGCAAATTCCTTCTAAAATAGCCCTCCTCATTCTGACTACTCTGTAGCTTCTATCTAAAAGCTTTTAATAAAATAACTCATTTTGATATTAGGCTTGAATCCCATCCAAAATTTTAAATCTCTCCAAGAAATACTTTAAAGCAATTTCCTCATGACCTGCTAACAGCAAATACACAAGCAGTGAACACATGCAGTGTTGGGAGTGTTGGCTGTCACTGGACAGGGTGGAAAGGAATTTGACAGCCTGTTCCTGGGACATTAATATTCTCTCCACCATCTCCACGGTCCTTTTCACCCTCCCTGTTATTTTAACTGCCTCCCTGTCTATTCCATGTTTTGTTCATTGGTAATAATTCACACGATTTTACCCAAAAAATTCTTCTGAACCGAACACCTCTATCAGTTTCTGTCACTCTGGTAGATAAAATTGCATGGCCTGAAGACATCCATTCCTTCCACTACAGCTGACCTCACATATCTATCCAGACCAGGAAGGCAGCTCTGGCTGGTAGTTGTGTGGCTTTTTCTCATCCAGATACAAGGATGCTCCTCCTGGGGCTGGCAGCTGACCACCCTTCTCAGTCTGGAGCTAGAAGATCGGAGGATGCTTAAACTGACTAGCTCATTTGTTTGGCTGACATCTCCAGTGGGTTTGCATTAAATAAACTCCTTCACCTTGACATTTAAGCAGGCTTCTCCCTATCTTCTGACTCTTGCTTTTTTCCTTGGGGGTCTGCTGCCACTCTGGGATTCCATTATTTTGTACTTAATGAGCCATCACACCAAGCTTGCCACTGTCACTTCCACTTCTTATTTCTGACTTTATGGTCTTGTCATACTTACAGTGATTCATGCCACAAAGGCTATGAACTTCTTTGGGGTTGCATTCACTATTACTTTGTGACTTCTCCTGGGTCTGTGCCAGCATCTCTCTTTTCTAGTACCATGCTGCAAGGAGCTTGTTTAAGGGTGTGCTTCATGACTTGCTAGTCCAAGAGGTTTTTCTCTAGCGCCAAGAAAGTGCTTCTTCAGCCTGCTGTGATGTTTGGCAGTTACATCCCCATAGGCGAAGTCATTCTTTGGTGTGTTTTCATGAGATCCTGTTGCCTCTGTGATCTCTCCAGAAGATGATCAGTGATAGAGGTTCTGTGACTGCAAAATGCCAATTACATGAGACTGGCTGCCTCCCACAGTGGTCACTGTTTTGGGAATTCAGATGACCTGCATGCTGCAAAGCCTGCCTTTGGCTCAACTGCAAGCCTGCAGCCACAGTCCACTGCTGCTGTTATACAAGAGGGCTTTGGTTTTTTGCTGGATGACCGGAAGGAACAGCCACTCTTGACCTGGAATGAAAATCCTAGCAAATCTCTCATGATGTGAAAGTGTCATTTGATCTTCTCTGACACATGGTCATTCAAAATTTATCCAGAATCCAGACTGATACCTATATGGTCCCAACCCCAAGGTAATTCAAATTAGTAATTAATTTATCTCCACAGCTTGCTGTTCTTTGCCACTGTTTGCAATTAAAGCTGGAAGAAAATTGATAATAACTGACATTTGACATGCAATGCTCTGCTGATGGTGCCAGGCTGCCTGCCTGCTTGTTTTAGGATCCAGGAATTAGGACTGACACAGCTAGCTTCCTAAACTGCAAGACAAATCATAGACTTACTTCTGAAGAGAGCCATGAGAACTGCTCCCTCTTCTAGAAAGGAGCTCTGTAACATCAGGAAACATCCACAGGTGTAGCTCAGAATGCTCTTAAGGGGTTAATTTTTCTATTCACATTAAACCTCAAATGATTTTCCACATCAGGCCAGGCAAGCAGGAAATCCTGTAAAGTGAAACAAGGAGAGCTTGAGTTTCAGTTCTTCAGTAGGTGAGGAAACCAAGCAGCTGATGTACTGGATGAGGGATTGATAAAAGAAGCCACCTCACATGTGTTAACAAGGCAGGACAGGAGATAGGAGACACCCGCTGAGTTGAATTCCTTTTGAAAATAAAAGACTGTGTTTAAAAATAAAAATGAGTTACATAAAGTGTGATCCACAGTTCTGTCTCTGGCTTAGCTGGAGAGCATGGCAGCTATTTAAATTCTCCCCTGTGTCAATGACAAAAGTGTCTCCCGGACACGTTTGTGGCTCCAGGGCGTTGTGGTTGCTGCAGCAGAACAGATGCCTCTGCTTCGAGATGGCTCCTGGCCCCAGCCTGTGCACTCCCAACTCCCTCTCCAACTCCTCCAGGCAGGTAGGATGCAAAACCAACAGCTAAGCACAGCGTGGGAGGCTCCAGGCTGAGAGGGGCAGCACAGGAGACAGGAATCAAAGGGAAGAATTTCCCCTTTAAAGCACTTTACAATTTCATAATTGTTCTCTGAGGAAACATGCTCCCATGCCCAGGAGCAGTTACACGTAAAGCAGCGCATCGGTGCCTCGGCATGTGCGTTGGAGAGGATGCTGTTAGTGTGGAGCAGGGAGGCAGAAAGGATTGGAGTTGACACAGAGCTGCTCTGTGCAGCCTTGGAGTCCTCCCAGCTTTCAGCATTGCTGCTGCTCTCAATATGGCAGCGTCTGTAACGCAGTTGGTGTGTATGGCTGGGAAGCAGAGACAGATCCACCCTGACAGACAGAGCTCTGCAAAGATCCGCTACCGCAGATGCTCCATCCCTTGTACGTTTTGACTGAGAACTGATGGTCGACTCGGTCCAGGGAGTGAGGCGGGCTGACAGATGGGGTTAATTTTCTGCTGAGAGACCATTCCAGGTGCTAGCAAGCAGCCTGCATTTTGTGAGCTGAACACTGCAAACATTTACTGAGTGTTAGAAATCAGCCCCAAGATCTCGGGGTTGCAGTCACAAATCCATTTATGATGGACAAGGTCTATGCTTCTTTGCTCTTATCACTGCTATTTCAAAGACTTGGGCATACAGGGCATACAGGTCCCACAGCAAGGATTTCCTGGGGCTATTAACCACTATACAGATACACAACGTGGCACTGAGAGGTCATTCCTACTGCAGCAAAACACCTAGGCACGTGCTTAACTTTAGACACATGAACAGTTGAATGGATATTTGTACAATGGAATACAAACAGAGTTAACCGCATGGGTGAGCTGGGATTTCTCTTTCATCTCTGGAGGCTGCTGCTCTAGCCTTAATTAAAACATAAATGAAGTGAGTTAGATGGGCTCATCCTCTTTCTCCAGCAGGCGGTGGTTCTTTTATAACAATGTCTGCTGCATCCAGCACCAATCTCTCCTCGGGAGACTGGCCTGCAATCATTGTCTGTGTCCTGCCAGTCTGGATAGAGATGCACACTGAGATCTGCCAACGCCTGCACCAGTCAAGCGCTAAGAACTGGGCTACGTCTCCAGAGCTGCATGGAAGGGCTGCAGGGCAAGAGGCCAGGCTTGTCCTGCCAGCGCCGACAGTGCTACTTCGGAGGAGCCTGGGGCTGCAGGAACAAGCAAGTCTCAGAGAAGGGCAGCACAATAGGACAGTGAGAGCACAGCCCTCTGTGCAATGTGTATGCTCCCCAGATGCAACTGCATTCCTCCAGGACTGGGTGCAGTGATAATCAGCCACAGAGAGAAGATGCCAGAACAACAGGTCTCTTGTATTTCTGAGCTGTGCCAAACTACCAGCTTATTCCCCCAACCAATCAAATGGCAAAAAGACAGCCCTTGCCCCTGCTGGGACCCCCATGAGGTACAGCAGCTCCACAGTTGGGGCTGCAGGAAAATGAGCCCCTCCAGTTAGCCCTCAGTTCTTCCCTCAGAGAGTGCACACACTCCTGCCATCTGCAAGTTTTCGCTACAGTCTCTGCTGTATGCAGTTCTCTCCAACACATTCTCCTTTTGCACCAATTAGTCTTATTTTTAAACTAGCTCAGCACCAGCATTCAGCCCGGTTGTTAGTCACAATGTCACAAATAGCCAAATATTCAAAGGAAATACAATCCACCATTTTAAAATAACAACAATAGCGAAGGGAGGGAAAAACTGAAAAGATAGTGAAGATCCTGAGCTGCAGGCACCAGCACAGACGGATGTTTTGTCCCAGCATCAAAGGCCCACCGCTAATCCTATTGAAATGGAGATCACTCCAGAACCAGTCCTGCTCCTGTATCAGCCCAGCCAGGGCTGGGCCAGGCTTAATGTAAGAAATACACAGCTCTCTTGCCCCACCTGCTAATTAGAAGCAATGTCTGTGTGTCTTTGACCATTCATAAGACACCACAGGAAGATCAATGCACTGGGAGAAGCACTGCCAGGCCATTAACAGGGGTGACATCTGAGCAGCATCCTTCCCCTCCTGCTTTGCCTGTGGAGCCATCCTTTTCCCCAGAAAACTGGGTCAGGAGCAAGTAAAAATCCCTCCCCCAGGGACTTGTAACCAAGCGAAGGACCACAGGGCCTTTCATCACCCACCAAGGCCCTCCTAGCTCTTACCTGTCTTGCAGCTGGCAGCAGGGTGGTAGCTACATGGCTTTTGGTGCTTGATGGACATGGCTGGCTGGGACCCTGAGGAACAGTATCTGCAGGCTCCCAGTGCATCGGGGAGGGTGAAGGACCCAGCCTGGGCACAGTTATCTCTGGAGGAGCAGCAGCACTGTGCCAATTTTCCTGGCTCCCTAGCCCTGCATCTCACGGAATGAACAAGAGCTGGTGGAAGGAGGGGGGTTACGAAAGAGAGGGAAGGGGGAGAAGGGAGAGCGAGAGCGCGCGCTCTCGCAGATGCACACACGCAGAGCAGACAGAGGCTTGTATAGGATGCCACTGCCTGACTTGCTCTCATTATTGCCGCAGGCTGGCTGCTGCCTGTGGAGAACTCGCCAGCATCTGCTGCTGGTTGGGGGCATGGTAAGGAAAAGGGACAGGGAAGAGTTTAGGACCTCATGAACCATCGGAGCAAGGAAAACTACTGTCTGGGCACTAGGGGCTCTATTATCTTTGTTTACCTTTACCTAGAGGGCAGGAAAGGATTGTGGTGATAGAGTTCATCTTTTCCTTGATGACTTCTTTCTTCCTCCAAACATAACCACAACCCCAGTCCTCCTCAGCTGTGCTGAGGGATGGCATAGGGCTAGTCTGGCCCAGAGCTTTTAAACATGGCATTGCGTCAAGATGGACAGAAAGCGGGTTGCACACACCCAAAGCACGAGCATTGTGTAAAGCTCAGCCTCCCCCTCTCATTCCCATTATCCAGGACGTGCTGATGCAGGTCCAAAGGTCTGGCAGGGGTGTTGGAGGGTGTGGAAAGACGCTCCAGCCATAACACCTCCCCCTTGTGTGTTGCGGAGAAAGCTGTGTGAGAGCTGCCTGCAGTCCCTGACACTCTGCTGATCTGCTGCAATGACAGACCCAAAACACCAGGGATTCAGAGATCAGGCCATAATCCTCCCGAAAGGGGCACCAATTCCTCACTCCACAGATTTTTACAATGTGCTTTTCTAAAGCATCACATGCTCAGAAGCGTGGCCCCCTTTGAAAGGAAGTAAGAGCTTTATGCCTTATGCCTTTTTCAGCTTTTTAAAAGATCCCAAACCTCTTTCCCTCTTCTGACCTAGTGGTTTATAACTCAGAGGGATGGGTCTTGCCTGGGGTGCTCAGTTTGATCAGAAGGATTAAAATGAAAGTGAAGTCAGATGTTTCAGGATAAGACTGAAACCCCCCTGAAACCCCCCAGTCACCCATTTACCACAGCTCCCTACTCTGAGGTTTCCCACTGGTGATTTCAGAGACACAGGGATATCAGCCGAAGGGCTGCTGGTAACAAAAATCAATGGGTGTGATGCACAGAATTACAAGTGCAGGAAGTTTCCAGGTCAATACCCTCCACAGCAGTTAACCTGAGTACACCATCTTTCCAGGTTCGCCTGTATCTCTAAGTGACTATATTCAGTAACAGATCTTCAAGACTCACCTGAGATCACACACACGTGTCTACAGCAGTGCAGGATAGGACCCAGTCCTACTGAGCCAGAATCCAGCACCCCAACTGCCTGCCTGGCTCAGCTGGCCTCAGGACATTGGTGCCCAGCTCCAGGAAACATCTCCCTCACAGGTCACTACCAGAAGCTGTCAGAACATATTTCAAGTCACAACATGTCGTCAGCCCTAGAATAGAAAAGGTCTCACTGTGGATCCATGGCTATGGATGGCTTATCTGACTGTAGCAGCAGATACACTGGCCCAGGGGATGATAGTTTCAAGACCTATAACCTTATTCTCACCACAGGAGGAGTAAGAAGCTGAGATTTGGTGCTGTGTCAAGATCCTGACTATTTCCCCACTGCAGAGAGACCCCAGTGGCACTGTGGAGCTGGATCCCTTTAGGCTGCTGAAGTAGGGAGTAATATCGCTGCAAGGTGGGGAGCAGGCATCTGTTTTCCAGCCCTGTGCATCTGCATTACATCACGAACAAAGCCGCCCAGAGTCTCAGGGGATGCGAGATAGCTTTCTTACATCCCAGGACTGGGAGATTTCCAAGTGACATCCATTCTCTACAGGGCTGTTTCTAATGCAGATATACTGCAGTGCAATCTCCCAATAAATTCAGGGGGGCGGTCATGAACCATCTTTAGGGAAAATAATACCCACATCTGTGTCTTCTGGGGAGTGAGAAGCCATCTGCTCCATGCCCCAAGCAAGCAGCCAACCTTCCAGTCTCCAGGACGCCATGCAGCCTGCCAGGGCAGCAGATCCTCCATCACCCTCACACCCACACAGCTGGGGTCTGACTTTCCCAGGGGTAGAAAGGACAAGGCACCTCAAACGACGTGCAGTGTGGTGTCCAGAACTTTGCAGGATCATGCCACTTGTGAGGGGACACCATCAGCGCCACTGTCCATCATCACTGTGAAGTCTTTATACAGGCAGGGACAGCTTCTCCAGGAGCCAGGACTTCCAGCTGCGTGTGAAAAATCAGAGGGTTTGTTTTGTACATGTGCGAACGCCTAAACTTAGCAAGCAAAATGTTAATTCGTGAGGGGAAAATAGGCCATATTTATGTAACTGTGAAAAGCTGCAGTGAAGGCTGCAGATCCAATGGGAGAGTGTGTGTTCAGCGCTAATGACAAACGCTGCTATTCACCCAGCTTTGTTAAGAACTCCAGTAGCTGCATATTCATTGCCCAGCACAGAACCACCACTGAGGTTTTCCAGGCTAAAAATAAAGGTCCTGTGTTTCCTACTTCACGGCCTGAGTTTTGTCTGGGATTAGAGGCACCAGGGTCTGGAAGCCTGGCTGAATGAGTGCTGCAAGTGGCAGCATCTACATATGCCTGTGAGAAGAGCAGGGCTGTAGGCTCAGCACGGGTGGAGAGCAATGAATAAAGGGCAAATTCATTCACAGCCATGCAGGATGGTGTAAGCACTGGCCCTCTGCCCACAGAGACATCTCCTGTGGTGGATGGTATGCTCACAAGACACGAGTCCCTTGTGCATAAACAAAAGCTAAGCAACTTTCAAAACAGGCGGCTGGGATAGTGCCATTACTGAAATTAGCAGCACCTCCTGGTTGGAAAATCTGATGGCTTGGATCCACCTCAGGAACCCTGGGTCCCTGCAGATGCAGACAGCTTCACTAGCAGTCTGCCTGCCCATGACATTTTCCTCCCCTTCCCCTCAAACACACATATTCTGCCCTACTTAAATGCAGTCATGAATCCAGAAATACCCAGCCTTGGAAATAAAAGTCCTGGAACTAGTCACTCAGGTGTTTTTCAGACACCCCCCACCCTAAGAGGTCTTTTAGCTCCAAAAACCATCACACAGCGACACTGGTGGGAAACAGCACAATTCTGCTACTTGTCTGGCTTTATGATCCTGGGACTCTGGGAAAGCCCTTAATTGGCTAAACTGGGCTTGCAAGTGGTAGAAAAGCCAAATTCACTCCCATGGGGGAAGCAAAGAGAAAAAGGACTGCATTGTGGATGCTTCTGTCACCCCTGGCTCCACTAGTCCCTGATCCTGGGTCCATGTTCCTGGACACCTATCTGAAAGCAGCAGGGGATGAGACTTCCAGAAAGGATGGTGACCTAGGGCTGGGAATGTCTGAAAGCAGAGTCCAAGCTACAGGCAGAACTGAACAAAGGCATCAACCACAGACAGTTGTATCATAACTTCTGTGCAAGTGAAGTCCAGCCTGGGAGGTAAGGGAGACTACCCCATCACAGGGGAACAACAGGCTAGGGGCTACAACTGATCTTAAGTGTTGTTTTCAGACAAATGGAGACAGAAATGAGTTTTTGAAACATACAAGGAAAAGCCCTGCAAAACAGATTAATCTCCTGAGAGAAAGCATTTTCTCCAGAAAAGGTCTTTCTTGCTAAAACATGACATAACAGAAAACTCTTTTGGGAAAGGACTCTTGAGATTACTTTAGGGGAGGGAGAGAGAGAGAGAGAGAGAGAGAGAGAGAGAGAGAGAGGTTAATGCCCCTGAGAGCAACACTCTTGGCAAAGCATTTCTGGAGGAAAAAAGTCTTAAAAGCCCCTGCTATTACGTCTGCATTTACCCTTGCTGCAGCAGCAACACACAGAGCTCAGAGGTGAGCCATCACCTTCCAATGCTCCTTCCTAATCACAGCTGAGAAGGATATAACAACATTCCTGCTGCTCTCTCATTTTCTTCAGCTGTAGCTCACCGCTCACCCAAACCAACCCGCTGTGAGCAGCAACTCTGCAAAATGTGTTTTGGAGTTTTATTCTGGCTTTGTGGTGTGCAACAACAGGGGACTTCCCATCTGTTGCTGTTTGTTTAGCCCTTGCATTTTTAAACTAACATCTGGGAAAACTGCTGAGCTTCTATTTAGAGAGTGGTGCACTTGGAGAGGAGATGTGTGTGTCTTTACCCTCTGTGGAAGTTGGTGTGACCCGAGTACCATTTGGCAAAGAACAAGAGGCCAAAGAACCAAGTCATCCCTCTCCAGTGCCCAGGCTCTCACAACACTGGCCAAGATATTTAAATGCAGTCCAGCCATTTTGTCCCTGAGAACTGTCTTCCATGCCTGGAAAACCATATGCCAGCTCTAAGTACCTGCATGTTAATTCCTCTTGGATTTCTATCCCTGCACCCCAGCAAAACCTAGAGCTGTGTTGTGAGACAGCAGAAAGTCTCTTCTAAGTAGGCATGAGTTGGGAAGGTCTGTCCCCTAGGAAGGCAGGCAGCACACCCCCCAGAATGAATGCTGGTGGTGAGATGGGGCTGGCTGTGGTGCTTGAGGTTGCTCTTACCCTCCTCCCTCCCTGCCAGCCTAGCCCATCACCTGCATGACATTGACACTGCTACCTGCTTAGCCTTCATCAACACTACCTGCAAGACTGGGGATAGTGTAATCCTCTCTGTAACCTTTCACCACCTCTCAAAGGGGGTCAGCAGTGTCTGAGGGCCCAATGTTTGATTTCAATGCAGCCCAGCTCCCTAAAATAGGCAGAAGAAATTGCCAATGCCAGAGCTATGCCAGGTAAGACAAAGTTACAGGATTGTTGCATCAGAAAAAATCAGTAGTTCAAAGATTCAAGGGGAAAAAAATCAATATTGAAAATTCTATAGGAAATGCTCTTGGAGGCAGAAGGCACAAACTGAGCAACATTAAGGATCTGCTGCAGGGAGCATTGGAGAGCAACCTTTCTGCTCCTGGCGATGTCTATGGGGCCAGCAAAGTCTCTTTGGATGTCTTAGGGTAGAGGGCTAAAGCATACTAATGCCTAGACTAGTGGCTTGTACTAACACTTAGTCTAGCACCTTGTTAAAGTCTACCTGTCCTCACTGTGTGCTAAAGCCATAAAGCTGTATTTATTAGCAGAGGTGTGCATATCCTGCTTGCAGTTCATGCATGACTCAAGATGTCTAAACAAGGTGACCCACAGAGAGAGCACTATATTTCAGGATCTTCCATCATCCTTTTCAATACATTATTTGCCTGAGAGCAGAAGAAATGTTCCTCAGCCCCCACAGCTGCATGGGCAAGTCAAGTTGATCCAGATGATCCTGAGCTCAGACTGCCTACAAGGGCAGGAGTCAAAGCCTACAAAGCCAGGAGTCCCATGGGCTTCAGGCAGCACTCAGAATCTGCAACACAGGTACAATGTAAACAGCTCCTCTGCTCTTAAAAAAAATCCAGTATTGGAAACAATCATCTTCTAGGTCTGTAAAATTAAATCTGAGAGAAATATGCAATAAGATTAAGTAAAAAACAAAACCAAACCAAACCAAAACAAAAAAACAAACCCAAAAAAAACAACAAACAACACCAGAAAAACCAACACCAACAAACAAAACAAAACAAGACTTTAACAACTACCTGAATATCAGTATCTCTCTCTCTCTTGGAAAACATCAACACCTACGAGGGAAGATGGAGTGGTCAAATGTAAAATGAACTGGCATAACAAGTCAACTCTGCACAGGCCAGGAATTGAGCCTTAGGACACCACAAGTGACACCAAAAAGAGAACCCAATTTGTTCACCCAGTCAACTCTCTCACATCAGCCTCTGCCTTCCCTGCTCACAGACAGGAGGAAATGGCTTTTCAGTACCAAAGAGAATCATTTCACACCCAAGTCACGAGGCAGCAAGTGCACAGCGCTGCTCACTGCTGGTCCAGAAGCACAGACTGAAAATTAATGCAGCATGCAGGGTCTCTTCAAGGGCACAGCTCCAAACCCCCAAATGAGGTATTGTAGCTGAGACCACACCACGCTGAGCAGAACGGAGAGACAGCAACATGTGTTTTGCTGTCTGCATGACTCTTTACACCCCAGCATGGTATGTGCTTTTTCACAATAGGACAAGTTTGTTGACTCTTGTTTAGCTTGTGACCCAGTATAAACACCAGCAGTTTCTGCTGTCAGAACAGCCGGTCGTCTGCTGCTGTCTATAGAGCTGAGGTTTTTTCCTCCTAAATAGAGCAGCTTGCATTTATCTTTATTGTATGGCATCCTAGTTTTTCCATGACCATTTCTCCATTCATCAAGGTTTGAATCCCAGCCCTATCCCTCTCCCAATAGCCTACAGTTTCTTCAAATTTGTACTAGTTTGTTAATAAATATATGAAACTGTGTTATTACATTTCCTATTCATCATCCAAGATTGAAAGACATGTTCCTGGAACAAGCACCTAAAAACACATTTCCCCCTGCCCCCAGTAGCATCATGTTTCATCTAGGGTCACATTAGGTATGACTATGCCAAAAAGACTTGGTATTTGTCACATACTGCCTCTCCCCTAGCAATAAGACCTTTTAATCTTGTCATAGGATGATTTTACTTTGGTTTGAGATTACTTTCCTCAAAAAACCTGCATGGTTGACTTGTCAGGCATCTTCTAGACTGCCTCTGTTTCCTATTTTCTTCCGTAAATGAACGTTAAACACATCTGTAATTACCCAGGTCCTCTTTCTCTTCCTTCTAGAGACAGGTACTGCACAATTTTTATGGCAGCCAGGTTCCTTACCTATCCACCATAATTTGTCACAAAATCATCACAAATTATTCTCAAATCACTTAGCTTTTTATTAAATTCCTGACACCCAGACAACTTGAGACCACCTGGTTTTCCCAAAGCCCTCCTGAATGTTTTTTTCCCCTCTATTCTAAGCAGAGATATCTCTGTCATTACTAGCAGCAGTGCTAGTCATCACTTCTTCTTCTTGAACTTTTAACAACGACTAGCATGAAAAAATAAAGAATTAAACATTTTGGCCTTCTTAACATTTTTTCAATAGGTCTTTCTGTTCCCAGAACTATTCCACATATACATTAATAGTATGAGGAGGACCAAGGAAAGTGCTGACCTACTCATATGTCTTGCTTACCAGGACTACTTGAAAGGAAGGGTTGTCACAGTCATAACAAGTATATTTCTTAGGTTAAGGGATCGTGACGAAGCAAAGAGTATTTGTCCTGCAGGCTTAGAGATATAAACTAATCCCACAGTTACAAAGGGAGAATTGTAGTTATTCATTTAGTAGAGGCACTTTAGGTCACCGTCACCAAAAGATCGCTCGCTTTGCTCAAGCAGCAAGCCCCGAGTTAGGCAACCTGAAAGAAACCAAACTGTAATACTGAGATAGAAACCTGGGTGCAAGCTATCCAGCACGGTACAACACACCACCTGTCAGACATTATATGAGACTTTGTAAGTGGCAAATGACAACAGCTAAGTGGTAACCTTTTGTATAGTCTCAGAGTGCCCGGAAAAAAAGATTTGGATAAGCACGTGGAGCTGCCAGGAAGCATTGCCTCCTGGAGTCCCTGCTTGTGTCTGCAACAGGGACCTCAGTGAATAAGGGAATCGGGTGGAGTCATCCACAGACAGAGAAGAAATTTGAGGTAGTAGCATGAGCAATCCTAGCTCCAGGGAGGGAACACACCCCCCACACCCCCCACCCCCCAAAAAACAAACCTACAGCTGTTCAAAAGCAAGGTCAAATGAAATGCAAGAGCTGCCAAAGAGGTGTTAAGCTCAGTTCGAAATATCCTGCTGTTCAGCAGCTTCATGTTCAAGTTCTGACTGTTGAAAGCAAACTCATCATTTCTTCTTTTATGACGCTGGGGCAGACACAGTTTTCAGCAGACTTTGGTGAGACTTCTCATCCTCGATTTTACTTATCCTCCAGGTTTACTTAATAAACAAACACTATAAATAAACTTCCATGTTAAATGACATCTTCTGTTTATGAATTTTTTAAAATTCATAAACATGTCTATAACTTCACATTATATCTTCTGTGATACTACACATCTTACTATGAAGAACAGACATCATATATATAAACAGAAACTGTGCACCTCCACCTTTTAATTCACACTACCATGAAATGCTAAAGAATAAAACTGCAACCTACTTTATGATTTCAAAGGGAACAGTAACCCCTAAGACAACACGCAAAAATCTTCTGTCACTGGCTGTTTAAAGAAAAGCTTCAGTATTTCCTACTGTTGCATGATAGATTCTGATTACTTTGTCACTTTTCAGTATTTTAAAATGTTTTTAAGCAGGAGCCACAAGGCGGCAGCATGAATTAACTGCACGTTACTTCACTTCAGGGTTAGGTCCTTCCTATATCCTCCAAGCCTCAATCACTCCTATTCCTCACCTGAGCTGCACAGCTGTTTATGAGGCCATGCAGCGTGCTGGATCCAAAAACTGGTCCTAGCTGAAATAATGAAGGGCTGCTCACCGGGTATGCCTCAAACGCTTTGATCAGCACTGCCAAGGAAGCAGTGAGCAGCAGAAAAGAGGGGTAGAAATGACCTTGACATGAAGAAAACAGGTCTGCAGGCTCACACCTTAGATTTAAACAGAAGGTTTTTCAGGTAGCATTAATAAAATGATAAATTTGCAGAAACTGCCTTTCAGAAATTATCATTCCAGCTGAATGGCATCCCGACTACAGAGTACCTTTTTGTATATTAGTTTAGTCAGCACAGTTATTTAACTGGTAAGTCTACATTTAATGGCTGTTTATATTCATTAACATTTATCTCATCTTCCATCAATGAAATTAGTAACAGCATGCCAGATATTTTCCTCACGTGGCTCCTGCAAATGCATTGAAATGAGCTAGCTGTCTCCAAAGGCAATTGTGGGCAGAGCTTGGTCCTGTGTATTTCTGTGGCAGCTGTGCTAAAATTATGCTCCTCCCTTTTTTTTTTTTTTTCCCCCCCCCTCTGGATCTGTCTTTAGTTTTGACATGAGAATTCAAGGCTTTATAAGATTTCATTTTAAATTCTATTTAAAGCATTCTTGGGATTTTTACAAGAAATCCTAAACATCCAAATCAAACTCCTGCCTTCCATATTTGCTTTTTTAAAATTTTACTATGCATACAACATAGTACTTTTTATTTCAGCTCCAGCATTTTTTCCTTGTAAAGAAGCATGGGAGGTTAGAGATGAGTTAGCTTTCTATGTGAGCTGTTACAGTATTCCTGGGATGCTCCCTCTGGGACAATACCCTGTGTGACCTTGAGCTAGTCAGCCTGTCATCCACCCATCTCTCCTCTTTGTTCTCAGATATGTTTGTACAGAGCCACAAAAAAAAAAAAAAAGGCATTCTACAGTTACTGGGGGCTGTATCACCCACAAGAAATATCACACCCATTTTGCTCTGGACATTGTTGTTTTGCCACTGAAAGTAAAGTGATGCTGTTTGAAAGGATTAGAATCGCTCTGTACCACCCTACTCAGCCCTGGCACTGTAATTGCTGTCAAATTAGTTCTGTTCATGCTACAAGAAAAAAAATCATTTAAGGCTTTTCTTTTACAGAACTGCACTGGATGTCTTTTTCTTTATATATAAATAAAAATCTAATGACAAGAAAAATTAATGACAAAGGGACACCATCAAAGACGTGAAGCCTTCAACTACAATTCTCTTCAAATATCTAAGCAAACAGGTAAAATTCTCAGGACTGAAAGTGTTTTAAATCTATCACTCTCCAATTAGAGGATAATACAAAAAAATCCAACAGTATACTGTGATTATTATTCCAGAGAAAACTGCCACTGTACATGGCCCTTGAACTAACTGTTGTTCTCAGACATGTTTTTGTATCATTCACTTTGGTATATACCTGCTCCCATGTGAATGTGCAAAGTTTTGCCAAATCTTGCTGCTTTCTTTTTCAGGTATTTTTTTTGCCACCCCCCCAAAAAAAAACCAACAAAAAAAACACCACCAAAACCCTAGTACTTTTACACAGTACAAAGCAGAAAGTAAAGGCTGATAAATACAAACAGTAACACATACAGGGAAAAAAAGACTCCAAACATCCCATGACAGCACCAACTTTTGGCCACTTCAGCTGTTGATGGGCATATGGAAAGTCACCGCTGGTAGCACAGGAGGTATGCAGTGATTTCCACAGGAAGGCATGTGAAATCACCTAAAACTGTACAGCTTGAAACTGATCGGATTGAAAAACAGAGGATATTAATTCATTAAGTGATGAGCAGAAAACATAAAAGAAATTTGAGCATTCATTCCTTCTAATAACCTACATGGGAGGTACCTCATGAAATGATCAGATGGAAGATTTAAATTAAGCAAGAGGAAGTACTTCTTAGAATAATAAATAATAATTTAACAGAACTCATGGCCACAGAAATACAAACATACTTAAAATACGACCAAATTAACAGGATAACTGTCCATAAGGCTTTTCTTCAATTCTACTTTAGCATTACAGTAAATACAAAAGCTATCAAACTGTAACAAGAAAGATAGAGCCTGATGGATTATTAGAGGCAAATATGACCAATCCATCAGAATGTATCTGTCACAGAATTCTGTTTGCTGTAAAATTGTGGCTGGCACAGCTGGTGACTGCATGTAATCAATGTTTTTTAATTACATAAAACAATGCTTTATTAAAAAAAACAAGCTAGAATACAAGCCTAAAATAAGAGCCCAGACATTTAGAGGTGAAATCATGTGAAGCTTACAGAGGGATTTCCGTCTGGTAACTTTTAGGTGGCTGTCCACTGTCTATGCCTTTCTGCTCCTGTTAACACATGGGCCAAAGAGTGTACCAAGCATCCTCACCAGACAGCTGGCTACATACACTGACAACAGCAAGCAAGTGTGGTCAAAACAAATCACTGTGCAAGCAACTAAAGGTGTATAAAGTAAGTGTGGAAAGAATAGAAGCCCTTATATTTGAGAGCATAAGCTCTCTTCTGCTCTTACTGTGACAGACTCCTTTTCTGAGGCTGCCTGTATTCACCAGACACTGGACATCAGTGCAGCACCACCCGACGCCAGACCTGCTCCACTCTTCCCAGTAGTAGAGCTGCTGGTGAAACCCAGAGCAGCGGAGCCATGCCTTCCTGGGGTCAGGGATTTGCCATGCGAATGTACAAAGCACCACCTCCAGCTCACACACAGCAACATGGAGCCTAGCATACAATCTAGCTCCAGCAGTAGCTTTGTACACCCAAATGAGGTCCTTTGGCTTCCACTGCACTGAGTGCCCTTCCATCAGGTCTGAGCAAAGGTCCCCATGCTCTCCAAGACAGAAGAAAAGCATACACAGTGTCCTTCTGTCAGGCTACAGGAGAGTGACAGTACAGAGCAGTAGCCCCCCCCTTATTTCCCATGCGGTAAAATAATGGATACAAATCCAGCTGCAAGCAGCTGAAACCATTCTTTGAAAATTTCTTCTGACTTGTTATGAATTATAATATTTTCATATAGCAGTAGTCTGTTTTCAACAGAACTGGGAATTAATCACCACCCTGAACCTCTGGGTATCTGCAGCATGGGATTACACAAAGCTGCTGCTAAGTTATATTGTAATTTAGCTAACTCTAGAGAGATAGATACCAGCACAATATCGGATTAAACTCCAGTTTGAGTTCTGAAAACAGTTCCTGCCTTTATGGCAGATTGTACAAAACCCTTGCAGCCAAACTCACACAAGCCATCTGGGACAGCTGAAATAAAACAATGCAATCTCTCCCAGCTTGGCCCAACCTGAAATAGTCTGGATAGGCTTGAAAACTTTTCAGGAAAAAAACCTCCACGTTTTGGCTGCTGAGAATCCCACCAGCATGCCATGTTCCTGTGATAGAAAAGGAAAAAAACTGAAATACATCAGAAACTTATCTCTGATGTTACAAAAGGGTAGTATATACTTACTAGAGAGTTGTTCCAGTCAAATCTATTAAAACATACACCGAGCCAATTCCCCTACAGGTAGGCAATAAACTGTCTCTCCATTTTATCAGTGTTTTGTTCAGGTCTAACAGAAGATCAGCAGGCTGGCAGGGTTAGAGCAGTACAGAGGCCTTACATACAACCCTGGCTCCTGCAAGAGTACTCCTTGTACAATCCTATCACCCATCTGAATGTTCACATCCCATGTATGCTCGTCATCAAGTTCTCTGGCATTGAGAAGACCATGTCAGGGAACATTCAACCACACAAGCTGATCCCTACCAGCGAAGTCCCAAAACAAATCCTCAGGCAGCACCTGTGTCCAGCTGGCGATTCTATTCCCAACAAAGCCAACTGCTTCAGATAGAGTACCCAGAGGCTGGGCAATTCTCTTGTCCACCATATACAGGCATATTGAAAAGAGGTCGAAGAAAGAGCAGAGGAGTCACACTGACATGTGGAAATCACTGCAGGAATCTGAAGACAATAATGCTATAGGGTTTGTTACTAATTTTACATGTATATTGTAGTGTGGAAAGCTGCTCTGTGTGCTAAGGGCATCTCTGGTAACAGCCGACAGCCTCCCCAGTACCTCCAACACAGGGAGAAGTCTGCATATATCACAGCTTTCTCTTTGGATAAAAAGGAATAATATAAAGGTACCCTCAAGGACTTTGGACTCATTAAGTTGATGACAGGCTTACACTGCTAGTTTGGCTTGAGCCTAGAGACTTGCGCTGCATGAGGAAGAGGAAAAAAAAAACCCCACCAACCCACCCAAACTACACAGAAATACAGATCCACCAACCTCCTCTTGCACACCACACCTCTAGTGGAAGATTACTTAAAGATTAACTCTTAATAGAGTCCAGGATTTTGCATCTTCTAGAATAGCTGACATTGCAACATTTCTCCATAGGTTTGTCTCATACAGGAAAGAGAAGGGAGTGTAGAAGCAACAAGGGCTCTGTGAAAGCTTGCAGTTTGTGGTTATGCTGTGGCTTATTTGCAGCAGGTGTTTCTGATGGACACTGTGCTGAAGTAGTGGTTTTAACATCTGTTTTCAGGATCACAGTCCAGCAGCTTTTCTCCAGCAAACATGGAATACTGGTATGCAATATAAGAGCCCCTTATTTCCATGTTATTTCTTTATAATGTCTATTCTTGCTTCTACCAAAACACAGAGCTAAGTATGCTGACTAGATCATGGTTTAAAAGCAACTTTCTGTGAACAAGGCTTCCACAAGCCCAAGTGAATCTTTACAACAATGCTCTATGAAAAACATTAATGTCTTCTCTCTGGCAACCTGGCAAACTCACACACTTGTATTGTAAGACCCCTTCATTCACAAATCCAAGCCCAGATGGCTTGCATAAATTTGGGATACATCTTTTTCACTGACCTAATTGTGGCAGGACTTCAGCAGCTCAGATGACACGTTTTGTTGCATTTTTTTCCACAGTAGCTAATCATAGCTGTGTCACACACTGAGAACTGCAGTAAGTCCTTAATATAGCTGTGGGTAAACAAACATCACACAAAACAGCTTGCACAAGAAAGAGGGATGTGTATGCCTTGGAGACAGCTTGCTCACATGTTTTAACAAGTGCTCTCACCAAGAATGTTCCAGGCAGTGTTACATTTCTATCTAAACACCTTAGAGCACCAGTTACTCTCTGAACACCTGATGATAATCCTAATTTAAAAAACAGCATTTGCCTTTGCAGTTACTAGTGAAATGATACAGTACCCCTTATTTCACAGTTTAAAAAAAGTTCAGCACATTATGCTTAGTTACTTTAAATAATAGACTGAAGGGAGTAAAGAATTTTCCAGAATAACTGTTTTCTATGATTCCATGTTCTCAAACAAGCCTCTAACATCCCTGCTTTAAAAACACAGATGATCCTCAAGCAAATTCTATACAAATCTGAGTTCAAACTACCAGTAAAGAAACTAAGTAACAAAATCCAGCATCCTCTAAAAATTAGTCTGAATTTGATACATAGCCTTGTAGTGGCTGTATTCCATATTTGGCATTTACAAGTTAAGGGAACAAAAATACCTGGTGTAACTCTCACAAGGTGACTCTCCTCCCTGCAAAAACAAAACTAAACAAAATTTAAAACTTGCTTTTAACATGGATCTAGCTTCTCTCTGAAAACTGATTCTCATTCCATTACTGACCTCTTTTACTCAGGGAAAAAAAAAAAAAAAAGAGTAAAATAAAGGTGAATGAATTTAAAGATAAGAATGAATAGCTCATACAAGAAAAAAAAAAAAAAAGGAATTCTGTGTTTAGCTAGAACAAATGTGAGTACAAATCCAGGGCTGTGTTGGGGATTTTTTTTTTTTTTTTTTTAAAAAAAAAAGTATTTAACCATGCTCCAAGACTGATGATAAACATGAGATCAGAAAGGATTTAAGGTGGGTTTGGTTGGGTTTTTTTGGTTTTTTTTTTTTTTTTGGGGGGGGGGTGGTGGGTTGGGTTGATTTTTTGTTTTGTTTTTGGTGTGTTTTGGGGTTTTTTTCCACACAGAAGTCCATCATTTTATAATCTGCAAAGAAAGCAGCAGCAAGTCAGCTCTACTGTTACTTGGCTATAGACGGCACTTTTAGCCTGTCTAAAGTATTCAAAAAACCCCAACCTCAAGGAGAAGAACCACCTCCCTCACTGTTTCTAACCAACAGGACAGTCCAGTATTTAAAAAAGTAACAGCATCACCACCATGTACTGTTATCTCACAATGCGGAGACCAAATTAGTTGATAAGCCCTGAAGCAGCCCAGAATCAGTTAGAATCTGCAGGATAGGATCTCCTGCAGGAGGCTGGAGTTCAGTATCAGCTCAGGCAGTAATTGCAGTCTTCCTTCTGTCCTTACAAACTTCCTCTGGCAGATACCTCCTGCTGTCCTTGCTCACTGGGACACAGTAATTCTCCCTTTTCTTCCTTTGCACCATCTTCCTAGTTTATTCAGGTAATCTCACCCCTCTTCCTCAGTTTCTTCACCTTCCACCTTTCCTCCCACCAGCTCTCTGCTTTCTCCAAGCTGAACATGGAGTTAACACCTCTGGAGGGCCTCTGCAGAGGGCTTGCTGTACGTGACCGACCAGAGCCAAATGGCTTGGCCTGCTAGGATGCTGCTCTAGGAGGCTCTACTCTACTCTAGAGCCCAGGCTCTACTCCATACAGAGCTGCTCCTGCACTGCAGCTGTTCTGGTGTAGGACCGGGGTGAACAGTCACTTGCAAGGAACATGGTGCTGCATCGCTTGCCACCGTAGCAGCAGGCTTGCAGGATCAGGAAAAATTCACAAAAGACTGGCAACCCTGCTATGTCAGAAATTTCTTGTCATCTCCTGGAGGGATCAGGGGTCACAAAGAAAAACTAGCAGCTTGCTCTTGTACAGAAAGCCCAAAGCCAAACTCAGTCAAAACCACACTGATAGATAAGCTTTATTTACAAATATATAAACTTCAGAATTAGTGAGCTGAAAAGCACCAGGACCACAGGCCCCAAAGACAGATAATCACCTCTTCGACAAGTACTACAAGGAGAAGCTGTTGCAAGCATTATGAATGCTTCTCTCCCCCTTCTTTGAAGGGAGAACACAGCTGAATACAAACTCCCCATGGCAATTTCTTGATCTTCTATCTTCCAACATGAGATGAGCTGCTGGCTGCACTGATATTTTGCTGTGAAGTGTCCAGAGCTCTTGTCCGAGCACAGCTTTATTCTAACAGTCCTGAGCTAACAAGATTCAGTGTTCATCAGGAATACAAACCATCCTGCCAGGGAAGCTGATGCTATCCCCTCCAGATGGGAGGAGAAATGCTTTTATAAGAGACAAGTAAAAAGTGGGGAGTGGAAAAAAATAGATCCCATCTTCCCTCCAGTATGGCACCCCAAAGCCAACAGTCTCACTATCCTATGTAAAATGATGGGGTGGTTTTTTTTTTTTGCTTTTCTACCTCTCCTTCCCATTACCAACCCAAAGGTGAATTCCTACTTGGGATCCCTTGTACCTATTTCCCATTCAGTCCTGAAACTGCCATAGTACATACAGTGGAGTTGTACTGCCTGCCCCCCTGCCCCCTCCAAGCTGATGTTTCCTGAACTGAAGTCCAGTTTAAGAGCTGTAACCACCTCTGATTAA